TGTTGTAATATTTTATTTAAATTAAAATTTATTTATTCATAATCTTCTCAATTAATTTATTTTTGTAGGTGACAAATATATATAAATATGTAATAAAATTATCAAGAATTCTATCTAAAAGGATATGACCTACGTAGTAAAGGCTCAGGATAATATTTATGACAACTAAGCTAATAGCTCAATCTTATAGTTTTTTGAAAGTCTGCCTTTATTTAATATTTGATTAATTTACTTAAACATGGATCTAAAATTAGTTACTTTTTTTTTTCTTTTTCTCTCATATTCATATTATCTTTTTTATCTTTCATTTTATTAATTCTTTATTTTCATGTTAATAAAATTTTATTTATATAAATCATATCAAATCCTCCTCATATAAATTTTATTAACTCTTTAACATCAATTTTAGAGTATAATTGTCTATATAACTATATTTAATTATCTTTTTCATATTTGCTCTTTCTATTTATTTTGGTTTTTTAAATATGAATTTATAATGATTATTTTATAATTACAATTTTTTAAATTGTAAGTATTAATACTCTAAATTTTAATTGAGACTATCTATCTCACTATTTAGATTGATAAATTTAGTATTAAATATTAATTTTTTTTTTTGCTATCAATTAGGTAAGTATAAAATTTAATAAAGTTTTCTCATACAATAATGTTATTCTTCTTATAATTATTATTTCTTAAATTATAGCAACGTGCATTTTATGCACATATAATAAAACTAGTATTTAAAGTTTATAGAAAAAATTTCATAAGAATCTTATGGTTGTTTAAAAAATTACATGTCTCTAAATCAAAATATTTTTCAAATACTATAAGGTTGTTTAAATTATATAATATCATAATAATAGAAAAAGATTTAAAATTAATCTTATGTCTGATCATTAAAATTTTTAAAGTTTATATTTGCCCACCTCTCAGACTTTCTATCCCTCTCTCTATACATCAAAAAATTAAATGTAAAGACTAACCTTAATAGATGCAACTGTTGCCTTATACTCAACCTCAAACAACAAAATATTCTTCTCGTTATGAGCTGCTATTTATAGGCAAAATAAAAGATTAAAAAAAAAATTCCCCATGAAATGAGTGCTTCATGGACCTTTAGCAAGGGGAAATCACGAGTTCCTCACCCGTGACCAATTCCGCCTGAATTCTCGCATAGACTGGTCCGGGGTCCGGGCTCGGGTGATGAAGAAAACGAATGCCACCTTCGCATTCATTTTGATGAAGAAAACAGATTGCAGCTTTGCATTTTCTGAAGAAAACGCAAAGCAGGATCGCATTTTCTTCAGAAAATACGATCCTGCTTTGCGTTTTCTTCAGAAAACGTAAACCAGGATCGCATTTCTGCTCCTTTTTAAATTTAATTAATTTCATGCTCCTAATCTTAATATATTTATTAACTTTGCTCCTTTTAAAAATTTGCCCTATATATAGCACTTAAAACTATTAAAAATATATATCTAATACCTAAACTTAATATTTACTTATCTACCACTCTGTTACACATACCGTCACTCTCAATGGCTACCTTCTCCGCATTGCCCTATGACGGCGGCATCCAGCTCAATGGCGGCCAAACATGGACTATCGACGTCCCAGACGAGACCACCGGTGGCTGCGTGGAAGAAGACGCGTGAGAAGCCTGTGCCAACATTGTCGACGATGAGTTTCTTTCCATCTCTATCGCATCCATTCGGATTGAGGAGCTGATCATATGCAAGGAAGGCAGGTCAGCCTCCTCAGAAGAAATCCTCTGGTTGAGATTTAAGATAACTCATTTATAAATCAGAATGGAGGCTTCACCAGCGTGTTTTAGAAGAGCAGAGAAGTAGATGAGGGGGTGAGAAAGCATGTGAGCACAATTTACTCTTGTCAGGTATCTCCTATCTCACTTATTCTTATATATTATTTCTTCTCTCACTAAATTTTGTTGAAAAAATGCTCTTTCCATTCCACTATATTCAATAAATCTTCAACATACAGGAAATAACAGTCCAAGGAAGCAGAAAATAGCATAGATTCATAAAGATCCAAAGTCAGAAAATGAAATAGAAAGCCACAACCCAAGAACACTAATAAAACCAGATCATCTCGTGATTTTGACAACAACCCAGGATTCAATCAAACACCAAAAGAAAGGATGATGAAATCCACGAGCAAAACGTGAAATAGATACCGTTACCTTAGTCGCAAGCTCCGATCACGATCGGGATGAAGACGCGACGGGTTTGGTTAATCTGCTCTCAATCAAGACAAAGACGCGACGGGTTGGGTATATCGCGAACAAACGGAAGACAACGCGCGGAAAAATGGAGTGGTAGAATAGAAAGAAAGGGAGATATTTTAGGTGGTAGATAAGTAAATATTAATGTTTAGATATTAGATATATTTTTTCAATAGTTTTAAGTGTTATGTATGTAAAAAACCTTTTTTTCATAAATAATATTTTACTTAAAAAAAAATTATTAGAATTACTTTTTCTTTCCTTTATTTTGAAATCAATGACAAGGAAATAAATATCAGCCTTACTTTCTTAAAGAAATTATACAAATAATATTAAAATAAATAAAAAATAGTATTTTAAATATATATTTCTTTTAACTTCTGTGTATCTAATTTATTATTTCAATACTCTAGCAAGTTATAGGTTCAAAATTAATTTAATTAATTTATGTGTTGCACCTAAAATCCATGTTTTATATAGCAATCGTTTGAGTGAGACCCACTGTCGATAGGAGCTCTCTAGAAAAGATGTGAAATTATTCTATGTGGATACGGACGCGTCTGGAGGATATTCAGAACGCGCCACGTCACTCGTTTGTTGTATACTGCTGTATACCGGGTGACATGACACTTTTTGATTTACCTCTGAACGGTCTGGTGTTCGTACAAAATAATTTCTCCTAGAAGATGGCCAATATTTTAATAAACCTCTATTACACTAAATATTTTCTAAGTTGTCATTATGACTAGAGAATTAATGTGAGAATTAAAGCAATTTTCTTTGAAAATTTTATTAAGAATATTAAATTTACATCATGAGTTTTCTTATTTGTGAAATACTTTTTTTAATTTATAAAATGCAAAAGGTTAAAATTTAAAATATATATAAATTATCGCCATATTTCAGTAAATTATTTTGACATCATATGATCTTGTTTTATTTAAGTATGATCTTTTTGAATTGAGATAATTTGATTTGTATGTTTAATCAGCTCATAATTTTCATTAATTATGTTTAGTGAGACTATGAAGAAAATATTAACAATCATTAGCTTAATAACTTTACTAATTATACAATCTAATCAGTAATTAAAAAGAGAATCTCAGATGTATGCATATGCTGATGCTAGATTTCTAGCTTGTACCTATAACTACTCGAGCTGTAATGCCTTACAAAGCAGGCCTTGCAAGATAGACTAAATTTTTAAGAGATAGAAAGAGAAACAGATAAAGAGAGAGAGAGACGTTTTCTCGGAGATGTTATCTGAAATGTCACTTCATGTCGCTTTTTTGCTTTTTTACTTACCAAGAAAGAGGAAGAAGAAGAAGAACCATTGCTTTCTCTCTCTACCTTTCAGCTACTATTTACTCTTATTTCAATACCATTCAAGACTTTCTGAAACGTCTTCTCATGGCTGATAGTCGCCTTTACTGTGAATTTCATGAAGTGTCGAAATTGATTTGGATGCTTTTAAGCCATTTCTCGTGGCCTGCAGAGTTTTAAATATGGGTTGAGTGAATATAATCATAAAAAATTAAGTACTGTTGATAATTTTAAAATTATTTTTCTTATTGCATTAGCCACTCAAGCACACAAACCCAGGATCTATCATTGCAAACATGTACATATTATATGATGGGGACATCAGATTTCGACACGTGTACCATCGCCGGAGACGCCGATCAACGGTTACGATCCAGAGACTTTATTTTTGATTTATTTGCATCTTACATTATGAGTGTATTTTCTTTTATTTTCCTAGTTTGCCCCTGAGGTCATTGTTTCACTTATGTAGCCCTGAGGGCGTTTCTATCTTTCCAGTTATGTTTATTTTGGGCCTCCTTATATGAGACATTATGCATTGTAATAGTTTTTTAGTTTTTGGAGACATGAAAATTCTATTTTGATGATTCTCTTTGTGAGTTCATGAAGCCTCTGAAGATCTCTTTGTGTGTTCTACCGGTGGAGTGGTGTTCAAGATTAGTCATTTGAAATTTCGTTATTTCTTTTCTCTCCAATCCTTTCTTCCCCCACTTAGCCGAAATTCCTTTCTCTTCTCATTTCCCCACCACCACCCAAGCTCCACCGCCGGCTTCCCTTAGCCGGCCCAGCCACCGGCAGCCCTCCCCCACAACCAAGCCGCCGACCATCCCTCCCAACCGCTCCCCACAGCCACCCCACTTTAGCCCCCCAGCAAACCCGTTTCAGACGTTGAAATCCCATGCCAAAGCATTAAATTCTTTCCTATTTTACATCCCTTGCTATTTGGAAAGTTGCCTGTTTTATTCCTTCTCAATTAATGGAATAATTCCAATGTTTCTAGAAGCAAATTATTAAGAAAATCCTCCTGTAACAGCAAACCTGAGAATTAAATGACAGATTTGATAATTCCATGATTTTCTCTAGAGAGGCTACGTCATGGATCTGAGTGCTCTCTCAACTCCCCATGGGCCGGCCACCTCCTCCTCTTGCCTCTCTCCAATCCCCACTTAATTACTACTTAAATGCCTCTTTAATTCCCCTCCCTCTCTTTCTCTAATTTCAAATTTCAAATCTGAAATTAAAATTAAAGCTGCAGCCCTTACTTGGAATCTGAATTAAAATCAGATTTTTGTTTATTTCCCCCATAGCTTCCCCCCCCCCCCCTCCTTTGGAAATTAATTTGAATTTTCAAATTAATTTCCCCTCTTCTCTCCATTGGACTTTAGCTTCAGAATTCTGAATTTTCCTGAAGCATTTCTCTCCTACCAAAATCAACTTCTCAGCAACTATAAAGGCCAATTAGCCCCTGAATCAACCTAGGCATTACATTAAAAGAGAAATGACTTTTACCTCTGGCATGAAAACACTTAGCCAAGATACACTATTAAGACAATTCACAGAAATGGAGTTTCTGCAACAAAAGATAATTTAATACTTTCTCTGGACCTTGACTCGCCTAGCTGACGAATTTCTGTTCAGAACTTTCACCGCCTCAGCTGTCCAAAGAAAAGATGTTTGAAATGGAGAAGAATTTTAACGAGCAGAGTTATTCTGGTAGGATCCAAACTGAAATATTTGAGCTCCAGAAGGAACTGACTGGAGAAAGGTTGGTTGGCCTTGGCCCAGTGTTGGAGCCATGGGAGCTCTCTGGAGATTGCTACCAGCCCTGCTATCAAGAACAATCATCTGATCATTTGAAAGAGATCCTGCCCCAAAACCCAAGGTAGAAGTGGCTAGACCAAAAACAGGAGAAAGAGGGGCTACTGAGGCTGTCGTCCCAGTTGATTCAAGCGCCATTATCGACCTTGACGATACAAATGGCAAAATGCCTGAAGCATTAGCTGGCATTCCAAATGAAAACCCAGAAGGCGTAGAACCCATAGAAGTACTGGACGAGGATGACAACAAGAATGTGGAACTAGATGTAGAGAAGCTACCAGTGACTGTTGATGAGAAGGAATTACCAGACGAAGAAGAGAAACATGAAGTAAATGTTTTGACATCAGATACTGCTTGTGAATCCAAAGCGCCAAACTGAGCTATAGATTTATGTGAAAAATTAGTAACTCCATTTCCAGAGGAAATTCCCTGAGTTCCACAAGATGATCCCGCTACTGCAAAAAAGTTTCTGGCAGTATTCTGGTAACTATTACTAGCAAACTGTAAGCTTGATCCACCTGATGTGGATGAAGAGCTGACTCCAAAAGCTTCATTTGCTGATATTGGAAAGACAGCTGGAGTTGACAGAGAACCACCGCCTGTAATTGACAATAGTAAAGTTATCACGGTGGTAGACTTAGGCTTCATTTGGGACAGCTTTCTCGCTGCTACTTAAAGTAGAGTTCTAGTACAATTAATTTTTTTAATTAGAAAGCTGCTTTAAGAAGCATCAAGAAAGTTGTCCCAAACGAAACTTGCTAGACATAAAAGAATTGACCAAATCAAACGAAACCTTCTGAATGTGGATATACGGATAAAGGTACTGGACTACGGACTCCAATGCCCGTGCTTGAAGATACAGCTGACACACCTACAGTGATCAAACCATTTGTTAGAAAACTACCTTCCAGATCAAGCAAGCGTACATACTAACTAAATAAGGACCTGTAAAGGAATAGCTTGTTGAATTGCCAGACCCAAATTGGAATTTAGGTGCTCCATTGCCAGTGCTTGAAGATACAGCTGACAAACTTCCAGCATTCAGTCTATATATTTAAGAAACATATTAACAGTTGAATTCGTCATTCGCAAACGTCATCTATTTAAAATGGAAGGGAAAAAAAAGGAGAAGCATCTCCTCATATCTGAAGCACAATAAAATACTAAAAGAAGACTCCTAAGTCTATTTAGAAATCTAACCTTGCACTAATTCCCGTGCTTATAGGCTTAGTTGAACTATATGTAAAGACTTTTGAACCAATTTTTAATGGAGAAGCAGAGTCTTCCATCTTTGGAGTAGCACCATCAGCCAAATTAGTTGCGATAGTAGAAGATAAAAGTGGTTTCGACAATGTGTTGGATGTACGTTCAGCAAGGAAGTTACAACTGACATTCCTTTCAGTGTAAGCTTTATCAACGGCTTTAGTATCAGTATGCATCAATCCTGAAGTAGGCACATATCCAAGGGAATGTTCGGGGGACTTCTCCCATGGTTCTTTTCCATAAACAAGAATATCATGCCCTGCTTTTGTGGGCTCAACTTTATCATCTGGAGCACCCTACAAAACATGTATTAATTGTACTGTTATACAGAGATCCATTAAAAATTAATTGGATATGAAATTTAAATAGGTATGATACATGGTGACCAAACAAAGTTGTGTATTCAACAGGGGTATAACTTAATCTAGTGTTAATCTACCTGTACGGTGGTTGGTTCCTTTTGCATAGAAAGCAAGGTAAATCCATTACTGTTTGAATCCATGGACTTCATACTATTATGCTTGGTAACTGAGGCTACCTCAGCTCCTGAGATATTAGGCATTAGTGAGGCTTCCCCTTCAGCCGTATCTTTATTATGAGAAGCAAAACTTGAGATTCTGGCTAAGTTAGACCTGCTAGGCTCTTCCAAAAATCTGCTGCCTCGAACATTCAGTAACTTAGTTGAATCATTGCTGGCCTTGATTTTTAAAGAAACATCACGCAATGCGCTGAAAGATGACTTGGAGAATGATGCATTTCCAACAATAACTTTCTTTTCAGATTTATTTTGTGGGGAAGGCTTTAGTTTATCAAGTTGATGCAATATCTTTTTAGCCATCTCCATGGACTCAGAAGGAACATGATGGATAATACTTGTAGAGGGCATTCTATCATCTAGATTGTCTAAGCCCTTTAAATCGATGCCATGTTTGTCTTCCCGACCAAGAAAAAATGTTGATGAAGTATCTCCATGAGTTGACAAATTTAAATCATTCAAACAAAACTTCTGGCGGACCCTACGTGCATCATCATCAAAGTATCCTGCATCCCTATCTGAGCGACCCCGTTTCAATGCCTGATAATTGATATTTATCACAAGTATAAAATCCATACAGTAAAAATTAAGTATATATTGCTTCTAAGAAAAAGACAAAATGATTGATCTTAAAAGAAGATGAAATAAGTATCTTCTGAGATAAGATTGAACCCAAAAAAAGGGATCGAACACTTACAAAGCTAAGTTAATCAAAAAATATTCTAGATGATAATTAAATAAAGGATTAAAAGTACCAATAAATCATTAAAGTACATACCTAATGTATGGAGCTCCTACAATACATGGTCTAGGAAGGGGTTAAAGAAAAAAAAAAAGTCTAGGAAGGGGTTGAAGTACAAGGCTTTAGTCCCTACATATGAAAAGTGGCTGTTTTCTAAGACTCAAACCTAGGACCTCCAGGATAAAATACGGGAAACCTCACCACTACAGCGCTCAAAAAACTATTAAAAATCAATGTCTGGCCAATCATATTTCATGGATACTAAATGTGCAATCGCACTAATCATATTGCATCATACTCATCCCGTGATCATTTTCTATTATATCAAAGTGTTAAAAATGGAAAAAAAATAAACTATGTTGATACAAAAATCCAAAAATTATACTATCTATTAAAAACCTTATAAATGTGCAGTCACACTAATCATATTGCATCATGGTCATCACGTGCTCATTTTCCTCTATCTCAAGATGTTAAAAATGTTAAAAATAAACTATGTTGGTACAAAAATCCAAAAAGTATACTCTTTTAAAAACCTTATAAAATATGAGGGGGGAAAATGGTTTATACTATCCAAAGGATATCCAAATATGCAACTCAAAAACAAACACATATTCAATTTAAATAATTCACAGCAGTAGAAAGCTTGATAGGATAATATAACACAGCTTGCCTACAGTACTGTTTAGCATGCATAGCTTCTTAAAAAGCCAAAAATATCATGTAAAAGGAGGGTTGTGAATTTGCCTAAAAGATTGAGGCTCACTTAAAAGTCAACTTTGCCTAAAGTACTGTTTAGCATGCATAGCACAAATAAATACATATGAATACATTAACACTTCCAATCAATGTTTTAGGCATTTATATTTGAATTAATTGCAAATGTGGTTATACTATTTACTACAATGTTAATAACATTCTCCAATTGTGCTCTCCAATTGTGCTCTATGGGTTCTCTCGATTGATGAGGGAAGGCACAATGGAGAGGGGATTTCCATGACACGACAACCAAGCTCCATTTTTTGTGATCTTGAATGATAGATTTCAAAATATAAAAACAAAAGGCTTGATTCCAATTTTTTCTTAAGGTTAATATAAGATTTTGCTATGGCATTTTTTGTAGATTTCCTTTATATATTTCCTTATTTTGAGATGGCATGCTTCTCTATTGGTTGTTCTTTGAGTTTTTCTTCACTCTTTTATTCAATCTCTGTGCTAGGTAGTTGTTTTATACTTTTTTTTTCCTCTGCTTTTGTTAGACCGATCCAACCTGTTCATATGAGACCGGCTTGCGTGTAATAGAGGCAAAGAAGTTCCACCTCCAGCTCGTGTCGATCAAACCACATAGTCCAAAAGAGCATATTAGAAAGATTTTAGGAGGGAAATCTGAATGTAGGAATTGTTTAGAGACTTCATTTTGTTTTGTATGCATTAAATAGTTGGTTTTCATAGGGTTATGGCATCTTGATTCTGGCTGAAATTTAAGATCTCCCTAAGCTTTTTGGGCTCTAGCGGCATCAATAGAATTGGGAGAGATAGATCCTCCTCTCAAATAGATGATCAATTGTATCTTGGTATTTTCCATTTCACTTTGAATACAAATTATCTACCATTTTCTTACTTTTGTGTGGATTTCTGTGGAGAATTCTAGCTGTTTTCCAAAGATTGATATGAGTTACTTGAGAACTATAAGTGTTTCCTATCAAATTGGTATCATAGCATTTTTTGAGACTGTTTTGGGCTGTTTTTTGTGAATTACGGAGGCTGAATTTTGTTCAAATATGGGTTGTTTTGCTGTTTTTGGGGTCGAGATCCAATTTTTTAGTCCAACAAAAATCCGGGTATCGATGGCGGCCAAGAAAGTGGATGCTTTGAAAGAACGTCTTGAAGGGGAGATTGAATAGTTGAAATCGTAAATTTAAGATCTCCACACTCAACTTTCAAAGGTCAAAAGTCAAATTTGAGTACCACGCTAGTCGACTAGATCGGCTTCCAGATACTGTGCTGGAAAAAAACTGTATGAAGGGATTGAAACCAAAGATATGTGCAGCGGTTAGAGTGATGTAGCCTCGTGACTTGGGAGAGACTATAAAACCAATGTTTAAAATTGCATATTCGGTTATTGAGGCGTTTTTCATTTGTGAGGCGAGGCGTAAGCCTCAAGGCGTTTTGAGGCGTAAGCCTCAAAATCAAAAGATTGCGTAAACATAAAATGATAAATTTTTTATATACTAATGAGTGAATAATATAAAACATCATAAAGACATAAGATATGAAGTGAAATCAAAATATCCTAATAATAAGACAACATGAAATATAATTCAACTCAAAATTCTATCTTTCCCAAATCCCAGCATTCATTTCATTAACATATAATTCCAATTTCCAAAGATAAATAGCAATGACATATCACATAAGAACTCATAAGTCATAAACACTGTCATCACTAAGGGGTTATTCATTTGAATCATCATTATGATGAACTGCTCTCTCCCCTTCCTCCTCTCCTAAAGAGTCCAATGTCGGGCATTTACTTCAAGATTTATGTAAATTTTAATATATAAAGCGTGAGGCGTAAGCCTCATGCCAGTGAGGCGAGACGGGCCTCAACCAAGTTGAGGCGCAAGCCTCATAAAAAAACTCGAGCCGTAAGCATCAAGGCATTTTTTACTGGAATTGTGCAAAGGCGAGCCTTGTATTGCGCAATTTTAAACTGTGTATAAAGCTAGCTCAATTGGTGGAGAATCGGAGGAATCTAGAGAGAAGAACGGGTGGCAAAAGCTCAAAAGGCTTGTATATGATGATCACTACCTTATTGGCATCCAAGAAGCCAACACCAGATATTTTTTGGGAGACTTCAAAGGAAAAGACTGTATGATGTAGGCAAGGAATGGGTCAAAACAAGTTGAGTTGAAAATTTTATAAGTTCTACTTGAATCATCTCATTAATGAGCCTCTTCTTATGTTTCAAGCTCATAAATGCTTTCCTCGACTAGATATCAGCTCATTAATGTCTAGTAGAGAGCCTTTTTTAGCTTATAAATTGAGGTTCATTCCCCCATTTGTTATCTCTTTGGCTCCCGTGGATGGCTCTTTGGTTCCCGTAGATGGTTCCTTGGTTCCCGTGGCTTGACCCTTTGGTTCCCGTGGATGGCTGCTGGTTTTCCCGTGCTTGGCCCCTTGTTTCCTGTCCCGAATGGGGGTTGTTGTGCTGGCTGTTCGGGCCTCCTGCTGGCTGCTTTCCCGTGGCTGTTTGCTTGGGTTTCCGTGGCCTTTTTGTCCCTGTTTTCTGCACCAAATGAAGGCTGCTATTTGGTGGCTGTTTGGGGGGAATTCCAAGAGTTTTTCTCTGTTTTCTATGCAATTTTCCTGCAGAATTCCTGCTGTCTTTTGGCCTTCTTCTTGGTGACTTATGGCCTTCTATTTCCCTATTTTAATAGATTTAAATATTGCTTTTAGGTGACTGTTTGTATTCCTTCTTTTTTGCCTATAAATAGTGATGTTTGTGGCTGTTTTAAGTAAGTGAAAATGTGAATTTTGGAAATGTAAAACCTGCGGGTTTTGTTGGAAAAGCTTGCAAGCTTGTTCCATTCTCCTTCTCATCTCCTCTAGGAAAGTCTTGCGAGTTCTTTCCACCCTTCGTCTTGGCTTCTAACCTCTTTCGTCTCTCCGCAAGTGCCACCTCACATGTATCCTTTTTCTAATAGATGAAAGCTTCTTTAGGTGTTTTTGTTTGTAAGTCGTTTTAATTTTAAGAGTTGTAAGTCTTTCATTTTATATAAGTGAAGTTTGTTTTGATCCTATTTTGTGTCCTTTTGTGTCTTTTCTATTACTTAGAAAAGTTCTTTCTTTGTGATCAAAAATTTGGGTTCATCACTGTAGGAGGAAAACCTAGGGACAACTTCAAGAAGCTCACATAAACAAAATTACATGAGAAGAGGGCGGAGGGGCTCTATTTCAGATGTGAAGAGAGGTATATGCCAAGGCACAGGTGTAAGGACCAAAATCTTCAGGTTCTTATAGTTCGTGATGATCAGGGAATGGAGGAGGGTGTCGTCTTTCCACCTTGCGGACAAGATGGGTCTTTGGGAGGGGAGTATTGTTAAAACCAATCCACTGGACCGGCGGGGCCGGCTTGCGAGTAACAGAGGAGAAGTTATGCCTCCTACTCATGTTGATCAAACTGCATAGTCCAAAAGAGCATATTATGAAGATTTTAGGAGTTTAGGAGAGAATTTTGAATGTAGGAATTGTTTAGAGATTTCCTTTTGGATTGTATTCATTAAATAGTTGGTTTTCCTAGGCTTAGGGCATATTGAATTTGGCTGAAATTTGAGCTCTCTCTTACGTTTTGGGATCTAGCAGCGTCTAGAGAATTGTGAGAGATAGATCCTCCTCTCGAATAAAGAATCAATTGTATCTTGATATTTTCCATTTCACTTTCACCAAAGAATACAAATTATCTACAGTTTTCCTAGTTTTGTGTAGATTATTTAGGAGAATTCTCGCTGTTTTCCAAAGATTGATAGGAGTTACTTGAGATCTTATAAGTGTTTCCTATCAGCTTTTTCCTATTTAGAGAAACTGTATGAGTTGTAAAACAAAAAGTAGTTTAAATAAATTATTTTATTTGTAAACAATATTTTATTATAATGAATATTTCATTAGAATCATTTGTCATTTAGGCATTACATTATAACCAAGCATTTCATATCATGATTAATGGTAGGTTGTTGTAATACATGTTTACGAGAAACTATGATAGCTGCCATGATGTTAGGCGAACAGCAAATTAGAGAAATAAACATGTTCATGTTCATGTTCATGTTTCACTGAAGAACAGAGGCTGTGAATTTTATTGTGTTGCAAAAATGCTAATGTTTCAATTTGAAGAACCCCGATTGTGAATTTGCTCAACATGTTTAATGTTCTATTTCGAAGCAAATATAATATGCATGGAATGTGGTTCACTTCTTTTATTTTTGCCATGCATCTTATGATTACTCTGATTTTATCATGGAAAAACCAAAAATGATATCCCCCTCCAAGTAGTAGATGCCTGGAAGATCGAGCTTATGAATCATCCACCTCCCAAGTAGTAGATGCCTGGTAGATCGAGCTTATGAATCATCCAATAACCCATTTAAGCAGTGAGTGTCAAACTGTAATAAAAATTTTTTAGGGTAGCATAAGGAGGGAAATACTTATGACACAATCAAGATCAAATGGGACCATTTAAAGGATGTCTCAATGTTATGAGCCGATCTCAAGCGAGGGCCTATTAGATAAAGTTGGGATTCAAGAAAAAAGGCTATCGCCCTGTTCGATGGTTTTGTGGAAGGAGAGATTGGAGGTTATATTTTGTAATTTTTGTTTATTAACTTAATGATATCCGAATTGAATAAGTGTTTTCAAAGTGCTAAGGGCAATAAGATACGCAAGAGTTCCATTTTGCTTCAATGTGCAAAGTGGCCCAGTGAAACGAGTATACACGTGAAAAGGTAGGAATAAATCCAGTGTTAGACAAGATTAGAGCAAGTTTCCTTAGATGGTTTGATCACTTAAAATGTCGGCCATCTGATGACCCTGTTAGGATAGTAGATGTATTAGATTTAACCTATATTAAAAAAGGTAGAGGTAGACCTAAAAAAACTTGATCATAAAGTACTAAAACAACTTTTTTTACTAGATTTAAATGAGAATTTGACTCTTAATATAAAAAAAAGGATTCATATAGCTGACCAAACATAGTGGGATAAAGGCTTGTTGCTATTGTGCAAAATGTCCCTTTTACTAACTAGAGCACTCCTCACTTGTAGATCATGTATACATATATTAACCAAATTTAAAAACAATTAAATAATAATTTTAAAAAATATATAACAAAACATTAAATGTGAATTATTACTAAATAATATGAAAGCTAAAAAATAATCAAACATATAAATAAAAAAAAATTAAAGATATAAATAATAAAGCAACGAAAGAATACATAAAAATTAAAATATATATATATTCATATTGGGTGACAAAATAGAGACCAAGAGGAGGAAGTGTGAAGCAAGATAAAGTGAAGATGGCACTAAGAAGGCTGAAGATGATGCAAAAAAAGTATTCTAAAAAAAACTTGTGCGCGATAAACATCTACCCCCGATAGCAAGAACGAATAAAAAGGTAGGGGTACATAAAGAGGAGACCACCAAGGACAAGGTCCAACAGAAGAAGATAAAAAACTAATGAGCAAAGACTCAATGACTAAGATAAATCAAAAAAGGAAAAGCAAACGTTGAGGCCTCAGTTATGCGACATAGTTGAACTAAATCATAAAATCTAAATCAGAATTTTATTTTAAGGCAGTCGAATGAGTCACATCGCTTTGCTTTACTACTAAAGCAATTTTAATAGGATTGTTTGGAAAACAAGTTCAAATTAATTTTTTTACTTGGAATGTAGGTATTTCCATTTTAAAAAAAATTTAGGTGTCACAAAATTGATCCCGAAATGAAAGAAAAGCTTGATCAAATGTTTAATAATTTGGGATTTAAAGGTGAATATGCTTGGACACCTAGTCAACGACAACTAGTGGTCAATGTTGATGACCTTTCTGATTTTGATAAGAAGGGAAATCTAGGATGAAGAAGATGAGTTTATCTCGAGTCCAATCATAGTAGGAGAGCAACCGCATTCATGAAACATAATCAATAGTTATCTTAATAACAATCACCATATCACTAACTCTAATCACCTGTAAATCTAATATATTTAAACCAGATAAGCATTTGCTTACTTATCGTAACAATCAAGTTAAGCCACATTTAGCAGTAATGTCTCATCATAATAGGGTTAGATTACGGCTCATCAAATTTGGAGAATGCCCTAGCACTAGCAAAAACCAAATTTGTACATTTCTTTAATATTAATGTGAGTTCTATGTCTGGTTGTCAACCTAGTATCACCTCACAATCTTTCTCATATGAGATAGGAATTACAAATGGAAATTATCAAAGATTAAAATGTCACAATAAATCCTTATTATTATTTTCAAAACAAACTTTGAGGGTGACAAAAGGATAGTAATGGCCAATGAATAGAAGTATAACTGTGATATTTGGTCACATAAAGGAAAGGAAACCATTAATCAAATAAGCAAATTAAGCCAACACAATTGCAGCAACTGGTCTTTAACATAGCCAAATCAAAAACCCATTGACTTCTCAACCTAAGAACAAGTCGCCTCTAGAAGCAAGGTAACCTAAGGGTCAAGCAAAAGATGGGCATGGGAATGACGAACTCCAGTGAGACACAACAATAAAGATGTTATGAATCATTAAGCTAAATCATGGCACTATCACTTATATAGAAGAACCAAAGCATTAAATGACTGTAGCTCATAAACAGTCAAACTTCAGTAGTTCAGTTTGCAGAAAGTTGGCATTTAATATGACTGGTAAAGAACAGAAAATAAACCTTAATAGCACCAAAAACATGGACTCTAGTTGCGTTCCATTCATGCCAACGTCAAAGAAAATTTACCATCATGTCATTCGGCACAGCTATCATATCTTATTAAAGCAACATACCAATAATTATACAGAAACCTTCTACTATCATGTATTTCTATCATGGACAGAAGAAAGATGGATAAGAGGTACATAATTTTCTTCATACGATTCATATTTGTTTTGTGCCCATGAAATCAGCTAAATTTGAGTTGCAAGGAATGGATTCTTTCGCAACAGAACAGCAAAATGATAGGAAATACTTGAGTTCGCAAGCAACCCTAAGGGAATACTTGAGTTCGCAAGCAAACCTATCACTAGTTGGAGACAAAACAGCGAGAAGTAAGTAAAAATCTGGGCGAAATCAGCCCCAAAACGATAGATTACAATAAGGGAAACAAAGCAAAAACAATACGAAAGCAAGATACAAGTGATCCTCAATTCGAGAGGAGGATCGTCTCTCCCAAATCTCTGGACAAGAGTCTAGAGCCCAAACGCCAAGAAACCCCAAGAGAACAAACAATACAAGCATGCCCTTCCCTTCCCCTTACCTCTCCTATTTAAAGACTTTTCCACCTCCTCAAATCTTTCCTAAAAATAATTTTCAAACAAATTCAAATCTATGGACCCCACCCCTATGCGGTAATCTAATTTGGACAAGAAATGAGGCGGTTTTGCCTCCTTTTGTATACAATTGCCGGCCCAGGAGGGGCCAAGCTGAGGCGGTTCAGAAGGAACCACCTCAATAGGCGGTTCCTTTTGGAACCGCCATATCACAAAAATAGTTCAAGCACCAGTAATGCTTTACCAAATGAAGCATTGCACCGCATGTTTACTCTGACGCCTAACACAATTTGAAAGCAAGGTGGCGAAATTGCAATGAGTATTTGCATATTTGAACCTGGATATACAAGGTATTAGCCGTGAAACATTGGCCAAGAGCTTTACCAGCAAGATCTGAAGCCTCACTGATGTCATTTGAACAAAAAAAACACAAGCTGAAGTTGGATCTTCAAGCCAAATTATGAAACTGTCACTAATTTAGTACAACTTAATTATCAAATTTTCTTCTACACTCTAGTTAAACTCATAAGTTACAAACAATGCTAGGATAAACAAACTAAGATCTTCATGATAATATGATTTACAAATTATAATATTTATTCATTCCTAGAATATTAGTTCAATTTGAAAAGATAGTGAGAACTTCAAATTACTTTTGACAATCTTAATATTACCATGCAAGGACCAAAAAATGTCTAGGCCAAAAAAAACAAGGGTTATTTAAATGACAAATCAAGTTAGTTTAATTAAAAGATAGATCGATGGACATGATCACATTCAAGGAAAAAAACATCTATTGACATCAAAGACAGAAAAAAAAAGGATAGAATATTGAGAAGAAGAAAGGCCTACTTGTCCATGACCACAATGCCTGATACTTGATAGTGAGGGAGTCCATTCTACTGACGTCGTTGGACCAACATTGTAGTCCTTGTAAGGAGTATATTCCTGAAATAAAAGCAACTCATACATCATGTGGGAAGTTAAGCCAATGATAGTTCTAGGAGTATTCCATGTTAACCTCTGAAATTAAGCCATCAACTTGGAACAGGCACACACCCTGGGATTAGTAATCACAAAGGGTTTACAATAGGGAGAGCGTGACAGTTTGTATAATGCTGATCTGCCTCGTGGTTTTCGAGTCATCCATTCATTTGCTGAATCCGTGGGAGTTATAGGAAAACATGCAACAGATTTGGAAGCAATTGCAGAATCTGACAATTTATTTTCAAACCGCAAACTCAATGGGAAAACTTCATTGCTTTGACATATTTGACTTTGAGAACCAACAGTAGATGGAGTTGCTCTTCTAGGCTTAGAACCCAAATATGCTCTAGCAATTTCTATTGGTGAGTCAAAACCTTCCTCAGGTACCTGTATACCATCATATGGCCACAAGCACAAAAAGATGAGATTTTAACAAAATAACACTGCTCCATCTATATATAACCATTATAACACAAGAAATATAAGAAACTAGAAATTTAACCTATATGACAATTTCAATTTCTTGTCCTTAAAACAAAAACTTAATTCTATAACTAAGCAAGCTAGCAACTTTTTCAATTCATGTAAATGAGCATTTTCATGACAACGCATGTCTAAATAAAACAAACAAAAATATTAAAAAATTGGCGATTAAAAAGTACACTTCATCTCCATGATTAGAATCTTTAGGCAAACACAAGATAGGCATCTGCAAAGCAACGATTAGGAACCTTATAAACAAAACCAAACTAGAAATCCTAAAAAAAATTCGTTCGCCCACATCGCAGCTTGCATCGGGCCGCTGCACCGCTGCAGCCGCCGCTACACCTCTGCCGCCGCCGCTGCACCGCCACCTCTGCACCGCGCGGGAACTCGAAAAACCAAACCGAAGCAGGTCGGGTCGGGTTGACCCAAACCCGAAGCGGGTCGGGTGCGGGTCCGGAAAAATAACCCGTTTGTGAAAACGGGTCGGGTTGACCCGAACCCGAATAGTGCCGGGTCAATTCCGGGTTCGACCCGAACCCGACCCGTGACCCGAAATTGACAGGTCTACACCTAACAAACACAAAAAACAGCAAGCCTCCCTAGCATAAGAAAATCAAGAAAAGTGTATTATACGATACAAATAATAACATCGCCCGGTCCCATGTAATGTCATTAATGACTATGAAAAAAACTAAAACTAGTACTTATCTTCAACAAATAATAACAATCACATACTGACAACAGTAATAAAATGCACATACAGCTACAATAATAGTGGTTGTGTTGGAATAAAACAATTATCATAACCCTACATGCCTGAGAAAAAAAAACAAAGGGTGTTGAATGAAATCTTCTACTTGGAAAAAGAGATGTATTGAGAAAAAAAGAGAGATCATAAGAGTTGGATCAATCAACCACCAACAGCACTAAAAGGAGCAAAAGACTAAAAAAAAAATGCAGCCATCTTAATATAGATCACATAGAAGGAAAAATTGACTAGATTGCTCGAGTCTTATGATAGAATCAATGCCGTATAATAAGTAAAAAAGAATACAAAACCGAATTATAAGTTAGAACTTAAGCAGTACATTATATAATAATTTATGAAATTGGATCCATGAATGAGTCCAATATGTTATTTTGCACAAATACACTTTCTCTTCATAAAGGGTAAAAGAAGATATCTCATTGAGACATAATGGTCATGTTCTAAAACTATGTGATAGACACCATTAACCTATATGAGCCCTATCAACAACGCAAAGCCAATGACCATGATATAACGTTGAGTGATAATAATGTCGATGTCATGCACTGTAAAGATATAGAATATTAGAAAAGATGCATCATATTGCAGTTGCTTGTTTCATGGTCCAACAACAATAACAACAAAGGATTAGAGCTTCGAATTGTTAAGGAAAGCAACAGATAAATGAAATAAATGAACAAAGTTGCATTCTTAAGTGAGCCAACAGTGATGTCAGCATGATTCTATATGTCTCTATATAGAACCTTTTGAGACAAATTTTGAAAGGCAAATACAAGTTAGTGGATTGATGGGGGCTAGTTTAACAGGAAAGGCTTGTGGTTTGAGGACATCTTAGTATTTATTTTTTCTACTAGAGAGATGATAGGTGGTTCTAGATCAACAAGAGGAGATTGGTGAGTTATTGCATAATCATATAAATGATGATTGGATGTTTATACATGTATGTAATCACTATATTCAATTGTATTGATAGAACTATCTTGCAAATAAAGTACAAGACTCGTCCGCGTAAGTTTCTATTCAACTAAAGGATAATGTAAACATAGGCATCATAATAAATATGTTAATAATAGGAATCGGGATACTTATTATGTGAAAAGGAACATTTTCAAAGTTACCCATGGTTATCATAATTGCATAATGATAGTGCCATAGTAAAGTGGGTGAGGGTTATTTAATTACAGGCCAACCATGATGGTAGGTTTGTTGGAGGTGGGAAGTAAAACACCACGGAAAAACAAACAAGAAAGGTAAAAGCAATGGAAATAAAAGAACACAAGGATTTAATGTGGAAAAAATTCAAAACCAGGAAAAAACAATAGATCCACACCAAGAAATCTACTATGAAAATATGGTATAATTGGTATTGAACCCTCTTCTCTCTCACTCTCTCCTTGTTTCCCTTCTCTCTTACACCATTCTTATAGAAGAACAAATAAATAGATACGATACAACCACCAAGAGACTCAATCCTTAAGAAAAATGAGAAAGAAAAGATGCCTAGCCAACCTCGTAGCATCGCAGTGCCAGTTTGGAGCGCCACAACGCTTAACACTCTATCTCTAGTTTTCCTGATAGGACCGCAGTGCCGGGATCCAAAGCACTGCAGTGTTCCACGTTGTCTTGTCGCCAAGCAACCCCACCAACCCCAAAGCAAGCACGACAAACTAAGTTGAGGTCTGAAGCAACAGTACAACCCGATTGATCGACACAATATGATTCCACGCAGACTAACAAGGTTTAGGACTGAGAAAATTTATGAGAGAACATTTGTGGCTATTTTAAACAAGGTGTTAGAAATCTATAGGTCTTCATTCATGATTGAGTTTTGATGATTGAGAAATTTTTTTAATTCGTAATTTTGAGAAGGAAAATTTTAGAAAGGGATCGATGATGGGTGGGGTAAATTTCAGTAAAAAGGATTGAGTGAAGTGTGTATGAGAAATATTTAGAAATCATTAAGTGTACACGTTTTAGATATCTCGGGTCTATTGTTCAAAGTGATAGTGAAATAAAAGAGGACATTATTAGTAGAATTCAAATTGGATGGTTGAAGTGGATGAATATATCCGCCTTATTATGTGATAGAAAAGTAGCCCTCAAACTTCTGGGAAAATTCTATAAGATGGTGGTGAGACCTACAATGCTTTATGACGCAAAATGTTGGCCATTAAGAGAAGCATAAAATTAAGTGTTGCAGAGATGAGGATGCTCATGTGGATGAGTGGCTTCACCCTTAGAGACATAATGCAAAATGAGTATATACGTGAAAAGGTTAGAGTAGCTCCAATGGCAAATAAGATTAGAGAGAGTCGCCTTTTGATGGTTTGGTTACATAAAACATTAACCTTCCGATAATCGGGTTAAAAGAGAAGATGTATTAGATTTGGCTCAGGTTAAAAAAGGTAAAGGTAGACTTAAAAAGACTTGATAAAAAATATTATAAATAACGTTTTTTTAATAGATTTAAATGAGAATTTGACTCTTAACATAACACAATGAAGACAAATGATTCATGTAGCTGACCCCACATAGTGGGATAAAGGCTTGATTTTGTTGTAGTAAGTGTTGATTCTTAATTTTGAGAAGGAAAATTTTAGAAGGGTATCGATGATGGGTAGACAAATTTTGGTGAAGTGATTGGGGTGATGGGGGTGTATGAGAGAGAATTCGCAATTATTAAGTAAGGAATTTAAAAAGGTTGAGATTAGGATTTGAATGAGATTTTCTTTTGTTTTTTCATACTTTCTAAAGGGAAAAAAGGTGAGGGTGGTTTAGAGCAAACAAAAAGGGAAAGAGAGAATTAGACTAATACTTATACACACTAGAGAATCAACAGCAATGTGAAATTGAGTATTTTAGAATTTGGTAATAATTTTCATTCTATTTCAAGGAGATGGTGTAATGCATGCAACAAAATAGAGCTGGTCGATTAAGTGATGGATTAATTTTCATTTATATTGGCATAAAAACCAAGTATAGGGATAGAAATAAATATTAATAGAGTGATAATATGAAAAAAAATAGGTGTGAGAAATTGGTAGAAAGAGAAGAGATTTTCAAACTAACTTGCATGATAAAAATGGGCTCCTTTGGCTCGGATATCGACTAATGCAAATGTGAAAGTGTTTGAACTTGATGGTACCATAGATGAAAAGAAGAAAAGAAATCTATGGGAGATTGAATAAGAAAAAGAAAAGAATGCTTCAACTGAAGAGATCATATAAGAGAGAAAATAGAAAGTGGAAAGGAGGTAGAGAGGAAGGCTGACGAGCAATATTTATTAATATTCATTCTTAATGTTGTAATGCTTAATACAACCTTAAACCCCATTATACAAATGCAGGGTAACAACATAAAAACTATTGTAACCATGACGAAAAAGAACCAATATGTCCTCATCGCATTAAATAAATATAAAACATATTGTAACATGACACTAAAGATGGCAATTGTGTTGTGCTCTGCATCAAAAGACTTATGACGCATCCCAACAGAGGACTCCATGTCACAACTAATAGTAATATAAATGTGATCTGGTCAAATATAGAAATCTCTCCCATGATAATAATGATTAATAAACCTACCAAAGAACCAAATATTGCATTTGTTATAATCTTCAACGAGGAAAATAGCATAGATCTTACTTAAGCGAGAATAATTAGTACTTTTTATGAACCTCGGTATGGACCTACAATGATAAATATGGGAAAGTTTTCAAAAGAAAATTCTAAGCAATATCAAGTGAACATGTGGTATCCTCGATGACATAATGAGGACTTCAACCCATAATAAACAGAGGACAGACTAACATGTTAAAAAAGTTACACAAATAGAGAAACAAGTAGAGACGTTTACTCACATTAACATGCACTCTAGAAGTGACATTTCCATGTAGATTAACCAACTGCTCCATTTGACCTTCCAATAATGAAGGATTTGCCTCCTGCTTTCCGTTTTCTTCATGATTGATTGCTTGTTGTGATGAGCTTGAATTAATACTAGAATCCTCATTTATCTTCCCCTTATTCTTGTAGTCTGTTGATGGTAAAGTAGATGGTTCAATAGTTCTTGAATGCAGTATATCTGCCAAGTGATCAATTTCAGCCCTGTACAATACTATAAACACTATTAGATTTTTTTTAAAAAAGTACAAGATGAAAATCAAGAGTTGGCAGGAAGAAATGAAGGAATAGGAAGTAATTATCATCATCATAAAAATTTTCCTAACTATTTGGCATTAGTATTATGAATCATCCTACCAGCATTCTTGTTGGTTGCTACATGAGGTGCTAAATATTAATTTTATTCTAAGTGCCTTTTTGCATAACTTCTAGTCAAGCTAGTCTACCAATTTTACTTTAAACCCACCACATTAACACTTAAATGAAATTTTTGCCCTAAACTGCACATGTGCCAAAATCATTTAAGTTATTTTTCAACAACTTTATTTTCAATAGATACTACTTTCACTCTCTATTATAGCCATTTCTCAGTATGTTCCATTAAGGCTTTACCAAACATCCATTTTATACAAGTAATGTCATCCCATTAAATAAGGTGATCATTTTCCGTATGCTATCTAAATCAAGAAAAAATAATAAAAGAATTTCTAATTAAAATAAAAGTTGTAAAATATGGGAAATACTTCTACAATCATATATAATTAGTGTTTTGAGTACAAAAGGCATAAAAAGAAATTAATTTAAAAAAAAAACAATACTTATAATAAGTCCTCAAACCAGCACGTGCAAAGTTTTTAAACATCATTTCATAAATGTTATTACTATTAACCATTAAATGTTACAATATAAGAAATACTTTCCTTGAAAACCTTTTCTGCTTGAGTAGTTGTTCGAGTTCAAAAAAGGCATCAGTGCTAGAAATTAGATCTTGCTCAGATATTAATTCTTTCTCAGATCTATCACTTGCATCATAGTTTATTAAGAGCCCTACATCAACGGGATTTTCACCTTGCTCTCTTGATTCAGGCGAGGATTTCTGTAAGTTATTCAATCAACATAGAAAATTAGAAATAATAGATAACTCTGATCATAAAAATGTTTGTAAACATGTACGAAAATTAATTGCTAAAATGGTACAGAAAGAGCTAATTTATCATGAGCAAATGACAAACGCAAGTAACAAATACTATAGATAACAACCTTAAAGGCAAATCATAAACCTTAGAAATAGCTTATCAAATTTATCAAAAGGATGTTATGAAGTAAAGTGTAACTTAGCAATTAGAAATGGTCAATAATGAGATGAAAGGATATCACAAACATAAATAATAAAATCATGTATTAATAAGTAACAATGGAATACAAAATTAATATGAAAAGAATCATAAAACTTGGGCATGTAACTATACCAAGTACATTATCCACATAGGCATAAAATGCAAAAGGTCAAACTGCAATGATCAATTAAAAAAAAATTAAAAAAAAAAATACTACCGAAACAAGTGAGAGAAGATGAATTAATAATTCTAACAAAAAAGTAAACATATAATTTTTCACATGAACAATCCTTACATCAACTTTTCTTCAAATATACCCAGCCCAAAAAACTATAAAAAAATGTAGTTGATGGAACGCTTGCTGCTGTTGCGGGAAAGGGATAGATAAAACTGACACCTTTCATTCCATTGTCATTTCTTCTCCACATACCAAAATTAGCCATGAACGTATTATCTATTCAAAAACTTACATTTAACGTAAAGTGTATCGAAGTATTTTATCCTACTCATTGCCTATTTCAAAACTGATCCATGAAGAAGATGATTGAGCATACCAATTACCAAATAACAAGAACTTTATTATTTGGACACAAGTAATAATAATCACATACATTGTTCTCATTTATCTAAATATCTCGCCGACCCGAAAAGGGTGTACGTATTACCATCACAATATTCCAAAAAATTAATCCCCGGGGTGTTACTTTTGTTGAAAATCAATGATTCCATGACCAAGATTATCTTCACAAGAAGCCTTAGAATGAAGACAACTTTTATTATCTCAAAACTTGATCTCTCAACTACCCAACAGACACACAAAGTCTCAAGCAATCCAATACTTTCCTACAGATAGAAATAACCTCCTCAGACATCAATTCCAACATAGCATTACCTAATGAACCTAAAAGATTGCAATAAGTATATTAAAAAAGAAAAAAGAATCTAGCATTGAATCAAAGTATGCTCAGGCATCCAAACCCAGACAAGATCAATCACCATGAGTGAAGGTATTATTCCTACCCATGAAACCCAAACCTATCATGATATTAGCCTTCTTATTACATAAGGAAAAAAAACCAAACATGCACCCCACGTCCAATAGCCAACTTTATTTCACTTTTTTCATCCTCCAACCAAAACTTATCTCAATGAGATAAATAATATCAAGATTTCAAGAACTATCCAAGAAACACTTTAGAATTAAAAATAGAAAAAAAAAAAAAGGCATGCTTGAGGAAAAGATAGACTTAAATGAAAACCAAGCTTGGGAAATGATGAAATTGATAAAAGAAAACAAATTAATTGGATTTAAGTGGGTGGACACAATGCAGTACAATTGCAAATGGGGCACTTAAAATATATAAAGCTAGAGTTTTGGCAAATGGTTACATTTAGACCTATGGAGTTTATTATGGACAAATATCAGCACCAGTCGCAAAGTTAAACACCATTAGGATACTTTTATCGTCGATAGTTAACCTCAACTGGTCCTTACAATAGTTGTATGCATAAATGCATTCCTACATACAGAAAAGGAAGAAAAAGCTTGGATGAAAATGCCACTAGTTTTAAATAAAGATTTTGGTACTAATTTGTTGGGAAATACTTGAAGATCTCAAGTAAACCCTCACAAGAGAAGCAAAAACAGCTGAGAACAATCCACAAATCCAATGAAAAGAACGGAAAAACAATAATTTTTATTGCAATAATCAAATTAACGGAAGAAAATAGCGAGATACAATTGATCATCAATTCAAGAGGATGATCGATCTATCCTAATCCCTAGACACCGCTAGAGCCCAAGCCACTAAACTCCAAGAACGAAATCAAACACAATAATTTGCATAACCCTAACCCTAATCCTCTCTTCCTATTCAAAGCAAACAATTAAACAACAAACACCAAAACAGCCCTCCCACAATTCCCTCCTATTTCCTTAATTATTTCCCTCCCAAATCAGCCCTTAAATCATCCCATAAATCTATCCTCTTCAATTATAAAATATTTCATAATTAATCCCCCCAAATCAGCCTCTAAATATGTCATCTTCAATTAGGAAGCATTTTCTAATTAATCCCCTCTAAATCAGCCCCTATATATGCTCTACTCAATTATGAAATATTTTATAATTAATTCCTTTTGACTAAGAACCTTCCTAAATAACTCCCTCTTGAATAAAAAATTTCTTAATTCCCTTCCAATCAAATTTAGCTAGTCTATCAATACTACCCTCCCAAAGTGTCACCTTGTCCTCAAGGTAGAACAAATGAAAATGTTGCTGAAGCATTTAACTAATAACACTGGACTAAAAAATGGACTGATACTGGGTCGAATGATCCCTGCCTCCAGCATCTCCCTGATTAATCTCTCGATCTCATCCTTTTGGATTTGAGGATAATGATACAGATGAACACTGATAGGTGAGAATATTTTCTTCAAGAAGAAATCATGCTCGTGTTCTCGCTGAGGTGGCAATCCTTGAGGTGGCGGAAAACATTACCGAATTGCAGAATCAAGGGATGCACTAAAAAAGGAACGTCCCCTTCCTCCTTCAATTTGATCCCCTCCAACCTGTGTCGTCCCGCCAGATAATCTTCTCCCACCTCTTGTATGCTCCTCACCATGGTTTTAAGTAATATCGTGGCTTTGGAGAGCCCTGCATCACCCCTTATCACTACTACTCCCTTCCACCACCAAATCCATCGTCAATGCCTCCCAGTTGAAATTGGTGTCTCCCTCCCAAGGTCTGCAGCCACTTCATCCGCAGCATGACATCAGTGCTCCCTAAAATTAACAAGAGAAAATCCTCCCCCACTTGAACCCCTTGTATGGTCAAAACTACACCTCTACAGATCCCATGGCCCGTCTTCACCTTCCTTGTACCCATCCTCACTCCATGATATCTTGTATCCACCAATTTAACCCCCAATTAGTTTGCGACCTAGTTAGAGATGAAATTGTGGGTAGTCCCACTATCAATCAACATCACCACCTCTCTATCTGTTATTTCCCCTTCACCTTCATTTTATGATTCGAAGTGAATCCTACTGCTGAATTCAGAGAGACTTCTACCACATATAGATGCAGCTTGTCCTCCATCTCTCTTTCTACCTCACTCACACCTCCCTCCTCAGTTTTCTCGCCATCACAAATGGTGAGAACCTGAAGAGTTTGATACCTACACCTGTGCTCTGGAGTATACTTCTTATCACATCTGAAGCATAGTCAATTCACCCTCTCTCTATGTCAGTCTTTTGAAGTTCCCCCCACTTTCTCCTACTAGCTTCTCCCTAGGAGTCTCACAAATGTTGTCTGTTGCAGGTCCCTTGAGTGCTAAAAGAGTGGTAGTCATCCTGTAAAAGCCACATGAACTGCTACTCCTGGCTCCCCTCTCTTGGTACTTCTGATCCTTCACTAGTTGTGTCAGCTCCATTGTCTCCCCCAAGTTACGAGGTCTCATGACTCTCACTACAGCTCTGATCTATGATTTGAGTACATTCATGAAATTACCCTCTAAAATAGTCTCTGATAGTCGATCTAATCGACTGCCAGGTACTCAAATCTCTCGCAGTAATCTGCCACCGATAGAAGGTCTACTACAAGTTACTGCACTTTCTTATGTGAGAATCTAATCACTTGGACAAGCTTCCTCCTTCTGCTAGCTTCTCCCTAGGAGTCTCACGAATGTTGTTTGTTGCAGGTCCCTTGAGTGCTAAAAGAGTGGTAGTCATCCTGTAAAAGCCACATGAACTGCTACTCCTGGCTCCCCTCTCTTGGTACTTCTGATCCTTCACTAGTTGTGTCAGCTCCATTGTCTCCCCCAAGTTACGAGGTCTCATGACTCTCACTACAGCTCTGATCTATGATTTGAGTACATTCATGAAATTACCCTCTAAAATAGTCTCTGATAGTCGATCTAATCGACTGCCAGGTACTCAAATCTCTCGCAGTAATCTGCCACCGATAGAAGGTCTACTACAAGTTACTGCACTTTCTTATGTGAGAATCTAATCACTTGGACAAGCAAAAAGCAAGCATAAGTCATATGTATCAGTTGACCGACATCCTAACCAAAGAACTACTGAACTCTGCATTTCAAAATATCACCTCTAGATTAGGCATAGAGAATAATTACCCTACAATTTGAGGAGTGTTAGCATCTTTAGCAACTAGCTTGTAAGAATGCAAGTTGTGAGATTGTAAATCTAATGGTCGATCATTTCAAAAAAGTTGGCAATCTGTGGACCTCTCCATGAGAAAGAAATCCCTCTCAGATTTTTAGAGAAATAATTTTGCCCAACCTGTAGAATATCTTCCTTCAATTCAATATTATTAGAATTTTCGTAAATAGAAGTTACAAAAGTAGCCTAAAATCATATTGTATAAATAGTGAGAAAAGGCCACCAATGAAATATACACAAAATTCAAATATTTTCTCCTCTTTTAACCCATTTTGAACATGTTCCATTAAAACAAATATTAGCCATATTACAAAAGATAAACTATCAAAAACTCCTATTTAAAATGAACTTCATTTATAATTGAAGAACAAATACATTTAAAAAGTATAAAAAAAAAACAAAAAATATAACTAAAATTATCAAAGTATGGAAACAAACCACTTCTGGAACCTCTTCAATTACATCGATATTTTCCCCTGCATGTAAAAGATTATTGTTAATAAACCAACAACAATATAAAATGTATAATAAAAATAGAATAACCATAGGAAAAAATTAGCATCTATGATATGAATCAAATTAGATGTTAAGTTTGAACATGGCAATGAGCAACAATATCATTCCATGATACTTGCAACAATACAAAAAAATCTAAGCTACGAGCATACTTTCCCATCTTATACTCATATAAAAATTGTATATCTCCTTTTACAGAATAACCAGATACTTATTTATCTTAAGGACCAAGCACGAGTACCTAACTATAATCGTTTATGAATTATAGATTGCATAACCCATCAAAGACAATTATTCAAAGATTGTGCAAACTAAAGGAAGGAGATATCAAATATTTATTATTAAGTGTAATGTCAACTTTTAGAAGTTGTAACAAATAAAACGAAAATATTCGCAAAGAAATAAGCAATAATATAGAACAAGATTGAAAGAACAACTTGTGCAATTATGCAATGTAAGGTCCTATTTAACTAAACCATCTATGCATAGGTGCAGCTTTTGCATGGTTTGCCACAGCCATGTTTATTTAAAGCCATCCAGATAGAGAAATTATCATGAAAATAATATTATTCCAATAATTATTATAAATCAACTGCAACATGCTTGGTTTGAAGCTATCTTATTTAAATATTATAATATTATTTAGAATAATTAATGATCATCATGATATTTCTTTGTTGTGTAGTTTCTTAGGTATTGAATAGTCTAAAATATTAGATATCTATGTCATCTAATTGGATAATATGATACAACTAAAACAGGATTAAAATGTCCCTTAGAAGTATGCTATTTAAGATATCACTAAACTAAATAGCTGACATCAGATAATAACATGATACTGCAAGTGAACAAAGCAACCTTTAAGTTCAAAGAAACAAGCAAACTTCAAACATGCATAAAGGCTTCAATAAGATATATGTTTTTTACAAGAGTGAAGGCAACATTAATCACTTATAGCTCAATCAACTTTGGCATGTACCCTTCAACCATGAAAAAGTTAAGTTTTGGACTAAGTATAAAAGATGAATGACGAGTACAATAGTAATCAATGGCAGTTTGATTGAGTATATAAAATGAGTGGAGCGTACAATAGTAATCAATGGTGGTTGGCTGCTAATAAGTAGACCAAGTCAAATAATTTCGATGTTTATGCAGTTTCACTAGAGCACTTAGTCCTTAAAAACTATTAAAAAAGGGACTTCTTCATCTACGGAATTTAATTTCAAATAATTGTTATGATGATAATGATGATGTACCATCTTCATGATGACAAAAATGTAAGAATATCTTAATGATGATGATATACCATACTATAGGAATAACTTCATGATGAAGATATTCCATATTAGTCTTGAAGATAATATTTTTGGAGTATTTTCAGAGTAAATTTTAGCATTTGAAACAAAGAAACAAGGGGAAATAACCAAAAGAAAGTGACCGTGATGATGATACTACAGCTTCTCCTCCCTAATCGTCACTTTTTGGTTGAAAGAAAGCTTCTGTGGAGCTACGCCCATAGTTTGAACGACACATTAATATAATCGATGAAAATAAAACCCAATTTCATCACCACGTTTCTCGGCGCCATCAAGAACCCAAGAAAAATTAACAATAACTAATTTAAACGCTCCAAAGTCTCAAGCCCTAACCTCAAACAAAAACCAACACATGTAAAGAGAAAGAAAACATGGATTCGGAAGCCAAACAAACCAGGAGGAGCGGCGAGTCCCTTGCCGAAAACAGAAAAAAGGCGAGAGGCACTCCTGATGATAACCCTCGAAGTGGGATCAACCAGCTTCGAAAACCACCGGCTCCCTCCAGCCTCACTCTCCGATGGTGGCACGCAGATTCCACGAGCCGCTAACGGCGGCCTGTCGTACGGAGTGGACGAAACACGCCGCAGAGGCCGCTTGCGGAACTTGCCGCCGGTTCCTCCTTCATCCTCAGTGGTCGCCATGGCCGTAACCGAGAAGTATAGTGCGCGGGTAGAGAAGGAAAAATAAACGAAATCGAAGGAAAGAATAGAAGAAAAAGGAGATTTTGGGGTTTCATAGAATGGACGGCCTGTAGAGCAAACGAGGGGAGGAAATGAAGCGAACCCAGTTGCCCGACATGGCTTAATGCGCTACCGTCAATACCGCTTACCTAAATAGGTAGGGTTGCAAGCAAACCAAACCTTCGAAGAATTAAAATTTGTTTGTGATGGTTTAATTAACTAAGCAAATAAATTTGAACAATATTTAAATATTCGATTCTTAAATAAACAAATATGAACACCAATGCGTTCGACTCATTTATGTTCGCGAACAACATCATTTGAAGTTCGTGAGCAAGCTCGACATTAAGCTCGATATGAAGCTCGTGTTCGATTTTGAACTCGTGAATAAGTTCAATAAAAATAATTAATATTTGACTATAGAATTAATAAATATAAATAACTATTGCCTTTGTTACATAGACAATTGTTTTTATTATAAATGTGTTTGTTCATAGATATGTTCATGAACGTGTTTGTTTGATAATTAAAAAAAATTCATTAAATATGTTCGCGAACAAGCTCGATAAGCACTAAACGAACGAACATGAACTGAACATGAACCGAACATGAACACCAATTAATTTAAATGAACTAAACCTGAACACAAACAATAAAGCTCGAACAAACATGAACCAAATTTGAACAAGCTGATATTAAATGAACACAAACATGAACACTCACATACTCGGCTCGGCTTGGTTCATTTGCAGCCCCAGACATAGGCATCAAATTTGAGATTTATGGGCTTTTTCGTTTGAATTTTTTAGTTGTGATTTTGATGAAAAATAAATGTTAAAATTTTGATGTTTTTTTAGTTTATAAATTATTTTTAATGTATTCTAAATTCATCTATTTCAACGGAATTATGACTTATCTTGTCAATTGAATTTGTTGTCATCGTCAACCACCGCTCCACCTCTCAGTACTAATAACAGCCACTATCAATAACTGACAGCTATCATTACCACCATCACTCGTCACCCCTTGGTCATCGTAGTCAGTATTTGACCATCATTATCATTAGACTTTATATTATTAATACGTCACCAAAAAGTTGCCTTGTTCGAGCAAGAATCTCGAGACAAAATCAATTCAATCCGAGCTCAAATGGTCCAAACCAAGGGACCAAAGCACATTAAGAAAGTTAAAAGCATAAGTTGGATACTCAGATGATATTCAAATATGACATGCTTATAATCGTATCCAGAGGCTCAACGAGATGAATCCAACAAGCCTAATATTGCTAAATTATAACATCATTATGACAGTAAATGTTTGATGAATGCTCTATAATCGAGATGATCAATATGGGTCGTCCAATGGAGCACTCCAAATCTGTCACATATCTTCTTTATATTTATGCAGCATGGCACTCTAAAAAAATATAGACTCTCATTTCTCACATGTAAGGGAGCTTGGACCTCTTGGCTGGAAATTGGAGAGAGCTCTAAGACATAAAAAATCATAGAGTTATACACATGCACCACTAACGACGAATTTCTGTTGACAGTCGATGAACCACTATTCGGCTGCCAACCATCATCGGACATTGCCCAGTCGCTGGCCGTGAGTGGATCACCGCCAGGCCACCGATATCCACTGGAATTCTACCCAACCATCATTGAGCCACTGCTCGACCGCCGATAATAGCCATCGGTGAACCACTGTCCATACATCGATCTCCGTTGGACTTCCACCCAACCCTCGTCAAACCACCGTCTGGTCTCCGATCTTCGTCAAACTTCCACAAGTCCATCGTCTGATCATTGAACTACAGCTAGAGAGCATGATCCCTCCGACCTCTGTCGCTGGCCAAATACAGTCTCTCTGACCTCTGTCGTCCGCCGACTACTGTTGCTTTGACCACCATCTCGAAGTGAAATTCAATTTCAAGATTAATTTTGGAAATCAAACATGGGGCCATCCGAACTCTGGTTTCAGCTAACTTATAATCAAACTAAACATTTAAAAGAGACGAACCCAACAAGACCAAAATCAGTCCAATCTGAGATCAAATGTGCCCAAACCAGGGACCAAAGCACATTAAGAATGTTCAAATCATAAGTTAGATATCCAACTGATATCCAAATATGGCATGCTTAAAGTCGAATAGAGCGGATCGACGAGACAAATACAATGTGCCCAAGATCACAAAATTTTGACATCATTATGACACTTAAATGCTTGATGAACGCTCTATGATCAAGGGGATTAATATGGTTCGTCCAGTGAAGCACTTCGAATTTTCCTCGTATCTTCTCCATTTTTACGGGCATGCCACTCTCAAAAATATATAAATAGACTTCTACTTCCCACATGAAAGGGAGCTTGGATCTTTGGCTAAAGATTAGAGAAAGTTATGAGGCATCAAAGACCATAGAGTTCTACACAAGCACCACCGCCGACAAACTTCTATCAACTGTTGTTGGACCACAATTCAGCTATCAAACATATTCTGACCACTGCTCTGCAATTAATCGTCGCTAGATCCCTACCTGGCCGCATGTCCACCAAAAATTCACCCAGTTGCTAACCACCACTAAACCACCGCTTGGCCTCCATTCTCTGTCATACTTCACCAAACCAACGTCAACCATCGCCCTGCCACGGATCACCACCAGAGCACCACCGGAGACTACTATCCCTTTGACCACCATCGCCAACTGACTATGATATCTTTAACCATTGTTACCCTTAAAATATGACCCCTCTGATGTATCATCATCACCTTTCGACTACGATCCCTCTCACCAGCTTTGATAACCGGCTACGACCCCTCCAACCACCTTCACCTGTCAACTATGATCCATCCCACCACCGTTGCCCGCTGACTACCTCTGACGTACCATCATCGCCCATCGACAATGGTCCCTCTGACCAGTGTCACCCGTTGACTATGGTCTCTCTGACCAGTTTCTCTCATCAACTACAACCCCTCTGACCACCTTCGTCCGTTGACTACGATCCCTCCGACCATCGTCGCCCGTTGACTATGGTCCCTCTAATATACCATCATCACCTGTCAGATACGATCCCTCTGACCAGTGTCGCCCACCGGCTACAATCCCTCTAACCACCTTCGCCTACCGACTACGGTCTTTATGACCACCACCCCCATTACAGTCCTACCAACCGAACAAACAGGCGAACACTCTCTTGAGAACAACTTTAACTTCCACCACATAATGCCCTCTATATGTTGTGTGTTTGCTACGTTGAGCCAATGCCTTCCTCCTGCGGAAGGACACCATTTGTAAGACTACAAACACAATCAGAATCATTTTAACAGAGTAGGTCCGTGATTTTTCCCTTGTTCAAGATTTTTCACATGAACAAGTTGGTGTCTCTTGTGATTCTTGCACCCTCTATCTTTGTATCTGTCAGTGTACTTGCTTTTTGTTTAGAGTTAAGACATTAAGCTATTAATCTCTCCACTGCCGCGAATGTTTCAGTCAGCAACAACTATATTAATAAAAAGAATTATCACTTATATTGTTATGATCCTCCGAGTATTTTCAGCATGCAATCCACATGTGCAAGTAGCCCCTCTTAAATATCTCATAGGTTTTCATATTCACCTACTACCTTTGTCTTATACTTCTTTTGGTGGTTTAAAAAGTTGTTTTACTAAATAGCTTATTTAATCTTAACGATATCGCCTTGATGTGGGGAAGCACGGTGACTTCCCTTAGGCCTTATCCCAAAACTATGTAGGAGAACCTGAATCTGCGAGTGGAGGAGCAAAGGACGACTGACAAATGGGCGGTTGAAGATGCTCCAGTTTTAGGCCTCATTGATTAGGCTTTTTTTATCCCTTTTCGTTTGAATACGCCGAAATCAATTAGTATTTAATGTTTGGAATCAAAGCTTAACAATAATTTCTTTTTAATAAACATCGTTTTTTCGGCGGTTACAAAATTCTTTTCGTATCTGCTTCTTCGGTAACAAAACAGAGTTTTGGAAGCGAATTATGTCTTTTATAATAAAATCTCAAAAGCAGAACTCCTAAACAAACAATTTAAAATTACTTTCAAGTATTAATAAGCACTTTTAAAAATATTAGTCAAACATATCTCATTATTGAAACTCCATTTTATTGAACGGCTTTTTCTCAACCTCCTTTTCTAAAACTCCTTTTTATGTAAGCATAAACCGAATCAAACAAAGCCTTAAGAGGAAGGGGAAACTCCGCTATGGAATGAATTATCCATTTCGAAAGTGTTAAACTCATTAATATCTCCTCAAAACAAAAGAAAATGATGCTTTTATATTCTGAATACTTCATGAAAGGAATACATCGCATTATCTCGAGAGATAGAATATGAGAATCTTTATGGGTTAAAAAAGATAAATATATGAATCATTAGAGATTTCCCTTATCGAGTTTGTAGAACATCATGTATGATTTATTTTCTTTTGTAATTTAGATTACCCATAGGAGTACACTCCCATGATATTAAAGGATAAAATGTATGCTTCTATGTTTGAAGTGTTTGAAATTATCAAGAAAGATGATGTATATGATCAACAATCAGTTGAAATCGATGTTTTAATAAATGTTATGTAATATTTCATCATTGTATCAGTAATACACTTAATAATTGATATGTTTTAGATTGCAAATGAATTATCATAAGTCATATAAAAAAAATATCAAGATTGAGATATCGTGAATGCAATAAAATTGGTGCAAGCATCCAAACAATAATTACATATGATGAGAGAGAATAGATATGACATTGTATATAGGATGAAGTATTACATTTATACAATATTTTTTAAATTAATATTATAAATATAAGCTCTTCATTTAAGGTTCAACGATCAACCGTACGAAGAGGTAAAGAAACAACAAATATGAATCATTATTATGTTCATTTATTTTACCATGTTATTGATATACAACTTCAAAACAAATAATCAGTAATTTGAATCTAGTATTAAACTACTTCTTTATGCGACATGTCTATGTGCCCATAATTAGTTCTCATAGTTAAATAGCATTATTGATCTTGCAAAATAAATTATTAAGGTTAAGAAATATATTGTGTATCTCCTAGTCTACAAGTTTATTATATTGGCATTGACTTTGTCATTGCTACTACTATAGTGGAGATAGCTTTTTATACTATAGGGATAATCAATCATAAGTCTTAAACCTCATTCCCATAACTCACATGCTTATTGAGCCAAATCCCATAACTTCAGTGTTCCGGTCCTTCGACAGCGTCAATGTAATGGCAGTAGTGGTAGTGGGTAGGTGGCGACACGACAACAAACAGACAGGCAGACGCGATAGCGGGTAGGCGAGGCAGGCGATCGACCCGGGCAAGCGATGTGACTCGATGTTATGCAACACGCGTATTTGGGGCAGGCGAGTTAGGCATGAGATGCAGGCAGACGCAAGCAGGGGCGATCAGAGAGGCATATGTGTTTTTTCGTATCATTCTTGGGTTTCCGAGTCAACCCGAACCGACCCAATTTTGAAATGGGTCGGTTTGTTGAACACAAACCTCGACTCGTTTCGGGTCCAAGTTGACCAAAATCCAAATTTTTCGAGTCGAGTTTTCGGGTCTTGTCAAATATTGATACCTTCTGCTACAATGATTTTTTATGATGAACGGGAGTATTCTAGACATGTCACGACTAAGCCCAAGGATTAGATGGAGTACGAGACAAATATTTTGCCTGAGATTTATGTCACAATGCTAATGGCATCCTGACTATGATTTGAAGATCAATTTGTGTGACATTGATGATACCGGCACTCATCAATACGCATAAAAACATCATACTGGGCAACAATCAATGAAGAAGAATGATGAGAAACATGAAGCCATGGATAACAATGGTGCTGAAGAGATGACTCTCTTACTTCGGATTGCTTTGAATAATAACACATAATTATTATTATATCTAAAAATTGAATGAATTGGTATAATATATTATTTTATCATGATTTCTGATTTGGAATTACAGTATATTATTTTGAATGTTTTGTGTAGAATAAAATATTATGTGGCAATGATTATGTTGTAATTCCATGTTTTAGTTGATTCTTAATATTACGAGTTTAAATTTATAAGTGAAATAATATTAAATTTCGTAGTTTAATATTTTAATAACAATTATGTCTAAAAATAATTAATTATTAAAATTATTTTTTAAGAATTCTCATTAATTAAAGTTTTATTTGGAATAATTTTTTTATTGTCTTTTAAAATAGTATTTTAATGAAAAAAATATAGTTTATAATTTTTTTTGTAGAAATATACTGCTCTAAAAAGTTGTAAGAAAACTGGAATAAAAGAAGAAGTTTTGTCTCTTCGCCTTAATCTCCTCGTCGGCTCCTCGGCTCTTGGCCTAAACCCTTGGGGGCGGTTTTTTTTTTTGGGATATTTAGGCTATTTAAGATAAATTCACACACATAATGCATACATAAAGACTCGAATTTTTATTGCCTCAGGTGACCTGACGTAGAGATACATCAGATAGCCTATAATATATCACCACATGCTCTTACTCTTTACCGCGCGGCTCGACGACCCAACCCGAAAAGAATACTTGGAATGCTTGATAAAATTTCATCATTGTTTGCTTAACTTGCTTTTGGTCTGGTGGATGTTGGGATAAAGTCGTCCGATATACGCAAATGGTTCATGAAGCAACACGACAAAGGAAATGGGGGATCGAAACAAACTACAGTATCACAGAAATCTTCTCCGAATGTCCCCGAGAAGGTGGTAATTATTTGCTTTACCCTTCATTTAGTCGTGTCACCTGCTGGTTTTACCGTATAAATAGTTTCCACATAGTTTCATGACTGCAGGTGTTATTGTAAAATTTCAAGTTGCTGAAAATATATTTTTTCAATAATCTTATGTTGAGCTATTATGTGGTTATTTCTATCAGGATTGATTGTTTACTTATTCTTAGTTTTTCACATTACTATAAAAAAAGCTCATCTATGCTGTTACAACTGATTATTTTCATGTTATTGTCATATATCAATATCATTCAAAGAAGTTTAAAGGACAATGCTGTTTGAAATTGCTTATTTACAGTAGTAGGATGTCAAACTATACATGGGTTTTTAGAGATTTTGGATAACTATATTTGAGTCTAAAAACATAAGAAAATGTATGATTAAGACTGGGTTCGAGATACTTATTTTATGGCTGTTTGATTGCATGATTTTTTATTTTTTTGGGAAAAATTCATAATAGTCTACCTATTATTCTTATATGACCAATTTAGTCAAAGAGTTTACATTTCTCCACTTTCGCCACTTGATTGCAAAAAAAATTATCCCAAATAACCCTCTCAAGGACTAAGTTGAGATCAATTTTGTATAGTATAGTAAATGGACTAAATTGGGATAAGTTTTGTATTACAATAGCAGTCAATTTTTATATGAGAGATTATTTTTGATTTATTTTGTATAAATGAGAGACTAAATGGGAGAAATGTGATATTTTGAGAGTAAATTAGCCACAAAAAATAGCCAGGGGCTGTTTTTGGCTTATTTTTATTCACATTTGAAGCATTTTGGAGTAAGTAATGGTGTTGATTAGCTATTAGAGCCTCATGTAGGTTGTTAGTTAGTTTGTCTTACTTCTCTTTCTCTCTCTCTCTCTCTCTCTCTTCTTCTACCTTCCTACCTCCCTCTTTCTTTCTGGTTGTCACTCTTCATACCTATCCCTATTCCCTTGATATTGTATCTCTCACGACCCGGCCCGGAGGCTTTAATTAATGAGGTGAGTACAAACGATTGAATGGCTAATAGATTTTCGATAATTATACATAACCGTAAAATCTAACATTCCTTAAACACCGAAGAGCCACTAACAGTACTAGTACATTTGAACACATTTAAATATAACACATTTTACCTGCTTTCATGTGTTCGCCACCTTCTATAGGCGTATTTCTCTTTTTCAGTCATTTCTACTTATCAGGAGATTTACCTAAAAATTTAGATTAAATGTTTGAATTTATATGGTAAACTAAGTGGATAATTACCATTTGATATGTAACAGTTAAGCATATAAAATAAAACATGCATATTCCTTTGCCCTTCATTCACAATTAACATATGCATAATCTTTTATATGCAGGTGCATAACTTATTTCTTATTATGTTTCATTTATCAATTTTCCATTTAACATTAATTTATTTTACAGTTCAGTTAGTACATGAGCATCATCTAAATGCACCAATAAAGGTACAACCATATCCATTTTCATTTAACGTGCACGGGTATGTTGCTTTCCGAGCCAATACCATATGGGGCGAACTATTGTAATTTGCATGTACTTTATCACTTTAATGGCTATCTGTTATCATTCGTCATTATGAATAACCTTCAAATATTTATAATTGAATAAATAGTCATGAGACTGTATGAAATAAAATAGAATCATGTAATGTCTATAAAAATAACAAAAATTGCCCACTTTATTCTCTTTCATGTTCAAATCCTTCCAAATCTTTAATTCTTTAAAATTAAAATATACCTCCATTACTCATCTCCGTATATAAACCTTTCACAGCTCAAAATAATATAAATTACTTCAACCATTTTTAAAGAAGACCTTTGGCTAATTGATCAACATTATATAATATTAAATATTGATCAACATTATATAATATTAAATGGCTTAATTTATTCCACAATCTCAATTACACTTTCTACATTTATCTTCTAACATAATATGTAATTAAATTCTTCTCAATTAAATAATTACCTCAATAAATCCTTTCTTCATTGAGATAAAACTTTCCTTCATTGATTGAATCACGGCTTGCCGCTTGAATTCTTCTTAACAACAATAATATATTATTTTTTCAATTAGAGAAATAAATTTCAATAAACTAAATTACTTACTCCTTCCTCCGTCGTCAGAGATAGAAGAAACTTCAAAAACTCCAATTTCCTTCCTCTTCCTCTTCTAAACTTTCTTCCTCATCGCTCAATTTAGATACCAACCATTCCTTAGGTTTCAATCATGGAAGAAATTGCCAAATAAAATGAATAAAATAAGTGAGCTTACTTTTTTTTCTCCTTCTCCTTCCTCTCAGTTAGGTTTTCTCTTGTCTTTTCTTTTTAGTCCATCTCATTCCACTGGAGTGAGTGAAATTGACATATCTTTCGCTCATTTTTCTTCCCTCACATGATTTCCCACTCAACAAGCGATTCGACCATGTCTGAAGGGTTCACGCACCCGTTGGCTCCGCTCGGTCCGTCCGTCTGGCTTTGTTGTTAGTGTAATTGCTTGCCCACTGAATTTATTGGCTGGTTCAGTCTAACCGGTCAGGTCCGGTTTTCACAACATCAACTTGACTAACCTAATAAGACATGTATCATTTGAACTGAATAACAAAGTCAATTGTTGATAATGAAATTGTTCAAGAAAAGTTAAACATGATAATGTTATCTAATTCTGATATTTTAGATGATCTTTGACTTGCTTTAGAATCGGGAAACATTACATACACCTGAAAAGTATCTAAAACCCAATCTCTATGTTCTCAATTCCATTGCTCTAAGCAGAAACCTTATTAAGAGATTATTTGAAAGCACAGGCAATTAAATTTTAAGACAATTAAAATTTTTCTAATGCTTTTGTAGAGATGGAACCTCCTGGCGGGCATTGATGCCACTTTTTTTAGCTCTGTTCCTATATTTCATGTAGTGTTAATTTATTGTCAATATCTGTTAGATCATGCTGCTGGCTTGCATATGATTGTATTATCATGCAATCTGATAGTGTTCTATTGCTTAGCACTGGAATTGATATTACCTCATTGTAAAATACTTCATGGAACCCTAGGTCAAAGAAGATGAAGGAAATTTCCAAAGGAGGAAAACAAGCAAATATTTTGCTGTTGCTTCTGATGCAGAGAAAAAGTCCACACCTTTAGTAAAAGATGAAACTGCAGCTGAGATGGCTTCTTCGAAAAGGAAGATCAAAAAAGGTGATGATAATATACATAATGAAGTCAAACAATCACCAGCAAAAAGGTTTCGTAAGGTGGATGTTGCTGCTGATGACGATGACTTTGCACCATCGTGCGAGAAAAAAAAGCTGACCGATACCGAAACTTTAAAAAAATTGAAAAGCAAAGCTACCGGACTAATGAAAAATTCAGTTGATGGTGTTAAAAGTGATGAAGCTGAAAATAATGATAAAGACGTTGAAACCCCTGTTAAAGGTGGAGGAAGGGGCAGAGGGGGAAGCGGATCAGCATCTGCAATAGGTGGAAGAGGAGGAAGAGGTGGAAGAGGTGGTTTCATGAATTTTGGTGAACGTAAAGATCCACCACATAAAGGAGAAAAGGTATTTTTTTTATTCAAAATATTTGCATACTAATGCACTATGAATTACAGTTTCGTTCTTGTTTCTTTGTGCTAATTTCCCCTAGCCATATTGTTATGTTAGGAAGTCCCTGAAGGTGCACCTGATTGCCTTGCTGGTCTGACATTTGTCATAAGTGGCACACTTGATAGGTGATTTTCAGGGGTGCTAAAGTCTTCATGCTCCATTTTTTTCATTACCTTTTTAAGCTTTTAGGGTGGTAGATTTACTCTTTGGAATCTTAACAGATGATATTTTTTAATGCTTTTTTGTTTGTTTATGCTCATTTTCTCTATTTCCCCAACATTGTTATTAATTTTTTTTCTACAATTTTTCGATAACTTTTGCTATTGATGTAATGGTTGGAAAACACTCCTTTGAAGTTGGTTTATGTGGTCTAATTTCAGCTTAGAAAGAGAAGAAGCAGAAGATCTAATAAAACGCCATGGTGGTCGTGTTACAGGATCTGTCAGCAAGAAAACAGTTAAATCGATCATGATCTCACTAATTTTCCATTTCACAGTGGTACTATACTTTTATCTAATACTTCCACCATACAGACTTATCTTTTAGCTGATGAAGATATCGGAGGAAAGAAATCTGCAAAAGCAAAAGAGCTGGGGTATTTAGTTGGAGGCCCTGTATCATATGACTTATAGTTGTGTCATCTGTTGCTCTTTATACATAATGTCTTTGATTTTGCTTTGTTGCAGCACTACCTTCCTAACAGAGGATGGACTATTTGATATGATCCGCAAATCAAAACCAGCAAAACCTTCTGGACAAAATGATGCTAGAAGTAAAACTCCTGTAAAGAAAGATAAATTGCTGGAAAAAGACTGTCTTGTAAAGCAAGGGTTAAAAGGTGCATACTAATGTGCTAAAAGTTTATTTTTTTTAAGTCTCTTCATATTCATTTCTGCTTAATGGAAAGCCATTCTTTTTTATTTGTGTGCTTTATGTAACATTGTGTTCATCGCATGCAATGGACTGATTTATTATTCGGTGATGTTCTTGTTAGACTGTGTAATTATGAATAAGTTTCCATTTGTGTGTCTATTCGTTTTTCAATGGCATTTGATGAGGATTTCAGTATGTACCAAGCAAGAAGAAAAGATAATAGAGTTGACAATCTTTGTGCAGTCATTCCATTGACGCAATTCCTATTAATTATATTTAGGAAAAAAATTGGGGAAATTTTAGAATGACTAAGAAGAAAATATATATATTACAAGAATATCCAACCTTTCACCATCAAGCTTTCGAAGATAAATTGAGCTTTGACATGATTTTGTCTTTTTGATGGGCTAGTTAGCAAGACATTCAAACTGAATTTTGTGTTCATTAGGTTTATGGTTCCACCCGATTCCAATATTTTAATGGATGGCAACCCTACACATGAAGATTATTGATGCACACTCCTGATTTATTGGTGTTTTGCAAAAGGATAATAAGTTTAACGTAGTAGCATATTATTATAAGATTAATAACAAGGATACTTTCTAACTTAGAAGTACTGAATATACGTAGACTATTATTAATGTAAAAAAGTTTAACAATTAAACATGCCATGTCAACTATAACTTATTTCCATAATCCATAATTAAATGTATTGTTTAGAAAGCAAGAAAAATGACAGAATTGGAGAGATTGCAATAACTGGAGATTAACAGATCACGGACATTTAAGAAAGCAGGATTTACATATTGTCTTTGCTCAAGATCCCTTTGTCCAAGTTATTGTAGAATACATGTTGAAACTCAAAAACTTATTTGTTAGGTGTGTTATTAGAAGTTGCTAATGTGCTCTAGAAAAATGGATGTTCGCCTGTTTGCAATGTTTACCAACCGCAAAATACTTTTATCTTTATCTAGCATCTGGACATGATTATCTCATGATAGTGGGATGGAGTTTAATCAATTTGTTTATGTGATATATCTATATTCTTAGTGGAGGATAACCACTAAACTCCGAATATTAATGACAAATATTTTAGCATTTGATTTTTTTAAATATATTCTTGTTGCATCTAGTTGGCGAACCTTGTGAAAATACGTCACCATTTTCTTCTAATTTTGATATCCTGCAGGTGGATTGAATATCTATCGTTAGTTTACTTCTTACTAACTTTTGAGTCTAGTACATAGGTAAATGGAAGTTATTTATATGTTGTGTTGTGTATATTTCTTCTTTGTTGATGGAGTGTTTTACTACAGTTTTCTCAAAGCCCCTCCCTCCCTCTCTCTCTCTCTCAATCTATCTCTCTCCTTAACTCTTTATACTTCACATAAAATATATTCTGCTTGTATTTCAGGTACTGAGCCTAGCTTAGGGATTAAAAAGAGTGCTGCAGAAGATGTTCAATCAAGTATCTCTCACCAAAAGAGAAAAGTTAAGGCTGGTGATTCGTTAACTTGGACGGAAAAATACCGTCCCAAGGTTCCAAATGATATTATAGGAAATCAATCACTTGTAAGTAGCTCGGTTTTCTACCCTTGCTCACATATGCAAATAAGAAATTAAACTTTGTTACTTCATGCAGGTTAAGCAACTTCATGATTGGCTAGCCAATTGGCATACTGAGTTTCTGCATGCTGGTAAAAAGTCAACCGGTAAAAAACAGAGTGATAGTGCAGCCAAAAAAGCTGTATTAATTAGTGGTACACCAGGAATTGGGAAGAGCACTTCGGCAAAGCTCGTTAGCCAAATGCTTGGTTTTAATGTCATTGAGGTGATCTTCCATTTGTGTGTTTATTTATTCCTTTTTGTGCCGGAAAATTGTTTGTTAAGAACTCTTAGTGTGTAATCTCTTGTACAGGTCAATGCTAGTGACAGTCGTGGGAAGGCTGATGCTAAAATTGTTAAAGGGGTTGGTGGAAGCACATCGAATTCTATCAAGGAACTCATTGACAATGAAACTTTGAGCATAAACAAGAATAGGTTGTTTTTCCTTATCTACTACTGTAAGTTATTACTAGTTTGTCTTTGTTTTTAACAATAGCTGATATATTACCTAAAATTTTAGGTCAAAGCATCAAAAAATGGTGCTAATTATGGATGAGGTTGATGGTATGTCTGCTGGAGATAGGGGTGGAGTGGCTGACCTTATTTCTAGCATAAAAGTTGCTAAGATACCTATCATTTGCATTTGTAATGATCGGTACAGCCAAAAGTTGAAGAGCCTTGTCAATTACTGCATGCTGCTTAACTTTAGGAAGCCAACTAAACAGCAGGTTGTCCCCATGTTTGCTTTACAAGTTTTCTTTTAAGTTTAATATTTTCATAAACATTTCCTTTAGCTCGATTATATTTATCCTGTTCATGATATAAATACTAGATATGCCAACCTGTTAAGGTAGCACATATTAGTTATGCAAGTTAAGACCCGCTTTTTTTCTTACTGCAATTTGATAATAGTTAATGTTTGTTAGTTGAACAATCATAAAAACATGGTTTTATTACTGAGAATTTAGTTTAAAGTGGTATATGTATGTACTAATACTAGTAGTTTTTTTGGAATAATCATTTTTTACTACATTTGTCTTCTACTCCTGGGAGGAAGTCCTACCCTGTTAGCTTGTTTTAAATCATCAGCCATATCTTGATGGTAGTATTGAGCATCAAGTGTCAGAATCAATACTCACTGACAGGAATGTTAGTTGGGTTCTTGATTTTCACTGGCGAGTTACTTTTATGTTATAGTTGCTGAATATGATTAGTTGAAGTCATCGCACTCCAGAAAGGTTCATTGCTTGATTTATGATTTTTCATTATTGCAGATGGCAAAAAGGTTAATGCAAGTTGCTCAGGCAGAATGTCTTCAGGTTAATGAGGTATTTTTTGTATTATTCCTACTAACATGTTGATTCTTCATTTACTTCTATTTCATTTTCCCTGTATCTTTACTATTTAATTGGTTTTCATCTTGGGGATCTGAGTTTTGAGGTTTATCCAATCTTGATGGATGTCTTGGTGTATGATTTTTGTTGCATATAGTTCAACCACGTAGAATATGTTACAAGTAATTACTTAATAATGGCATTGGTGATTAGCAAAAAATGTTAGTTTAAATAGAATGATATATCAATGTGTCAGCAATTGTAAATTTATTTTATTGAGTGTGCTTAATTGTCAACAACGCTCAACATTAGCAAGGCATGATTTAATTAATATCATTTAAAAAAAGAAATAAAAGAATATATAATCTTCAAATATCAAAAAAATATGAACAAATTCACTACTGATTGACCAACATGGTTGGCATTGCCATCATCATCACCTTTAAGAGCAATATCCACTTTCTAAGAACATGCACCATCATTCATAAAAATATAATTTTTTAATCCAACTCAAAAAAGAGCACTTCATCATCATCATTTGTCTTGATCATGTCGGGGTATGTCTCGACCGCACAATGGTGTCTCCATGCTGTGTTAGGGTATGCCTTGACCTTGTCTTAACTGTAATTTTGGAAAAAAAAAAAAATACATGTGATTTTAACTGTGTCAGTTATTGTCAAGGTGTGTTGGAGTTTTGTTTGTTTTTGACAAGGAAATTAGACTTTTTGAATATCAGTGACGTGAAACATTATCGGAATTGCACGGAGAAACAATAAGACAATTGAGTAAGCAAGTCAATATAAAGATTAACGAGTCATAATTAATGATCTAATGAAATCTCAGTTGCAAAGTTGCTTAGGCAATGTACAAACTCGTTAGGCACGACAATTTAAAATAATAACAAACATGCGAGTAATGACGAATGCACTTTAGCAATAATCCGTGGGTTAATATTTAGAAAAGTCACCTTGAGTTTCCCTCACTCAAGCTCTCTTGCGGTTAACAGAAGAAAGATTTTAGCAATACTGATGTGATCACCATGAGGAAGAGGGAGCTTACAATACTGTCCACGAGAAAGCTAGTCGGAGTTGGAGGAGTCTGTGGAAGGTGTAAGAGTTGCTACTCGGATGGAAGGTAGTATTCGTCGATGGCGGTTGATAGAGAAAATAATATCAGATCCACGTAATCTTCAATGATGGCGTTGATCTCTACGTGACGTCACGGAAAGACGATCTCAAACGTCCGCACGTACTTGAGAATCAAATATGAATCTCTGATCAACATCCGGATCGGCCATGTATAGTTGGCCAAAAGAAAATGTTGAGAGAAAGAGGAGGGGATCAGCCAAGCTAAGGGGAGAAGGAGGAAAAAATGAAATTAATTTCAGATTTAGTGAATAATTAGGGATGAATATCTTTTGAAATTTGAATTTGAAATTAGTGGAGATTAGGAGGGAAAGTGGGGCGGGGATTTATTAATTAGATCCTTAATTTATGGGATCTAATTAATTAAATGGGGGAGCTTGGGTGGCCGGCCAAAGAGGGGATTTGGGAGGAATTAATTAGTGCTTAGGTGGCAAAGTGGAAAGAGAAAGAGAGAGAGAGGGGCGGCTTAAGTGGGCTGGCCATTTAAAGAGGGGAAGGGCTTTGTTTTAATTGGGTGGGTTTGGAGGGAGTTGGATTTGAATTTGAATTCAAATTCAAATAAGGCTCGAGTCTTAAATGGGGGAAACCCATTAATGGGCCGTCAGCATAGGGGAAAGAGGGGAAGGATTGGTGGGAATTTAAAAGCTTCCAAATTGGGTTTTCTCAATAAGGAAGAGGAAAATTAAATCAAATCCAATTTAAAATAAATTGAATGAGCTTTAAAACTTTCCAAATATGGCTTTGTCCAATTAGGGAAGATTTTGAAATTTAAAATTTGATTTTTCAAATTGAGGAGTTATCTTCCTAAATCAATGGAGGCTATTTTGGTAGGTGGTAATGATGACATTAATCATCATTAAAGGTGGATGGCCAATTGGGAGCCGACGACATGGTGGTGGGAGGCTTGGGAATGCAATTGGGGGGAAAAGTGGGGCTAGGCCGGTGGTAGGGTGGGCTAGGTTGGCGGGTGGGCTTGAGGTGGTGCAACTAAAGGGGAAATTTGAATGGAAGGGGATGACTAGTGGTGGTAGGGGAAGGAGTCGTCGGGTGGGATGGGAAAGAGAAGAAAAAAGGAAATAAGATAGATTAACCACGAGCTGTAGACTCTTCCAACGACTGGTGGGTATTGCGCTTGCTCACACCTCGAGCTCTCTCTCTCCCTTCTCTAGTGCTCTCACAAGAAGAAGAAGAAGAAAAACACATAAAATTTTATTATCAAATCATCATTCCCAATACAATAGAAATGACCCATATATATAGGCCTCACCAAAAAGAAAAAAACAAAGACTAAAATGCCCTCGGGGCTACAACATCAAATGACCACCCATGAGGGTAAAATAGTAAAACTGAAAATAAAAATAAACTATTACATAAAATGACTCAAAATATAAGCTCCTGATCGTAGCCGTTGATCTCCGGTGTCTCCTCTGATAAGTGCGCCTAAATCTCCTGCTGATGTCCTCATCAATCAGTGCTTCATAGGCAGACATATGAGGTGTAAATTTGGATGTGTAAAATGAAGAGAAGCTCCCTAGTGTTCTATGTTTTTGTTAACTGAATGACATCAAAACTAAATTTAAAATATTAGCTGAACAAATTGATGATTAATGCTTTTTAGAGTTGGGAACATGGAAGTAGAAACATATAATATGTTTTTAGTAGCAATGATATTATTGTCACGAATGCATGATATTATGTTGAATGATGAAGAAAGCATTATATTATGCAAAATGATAAGACATTAATATCAAATAGTATGGGTAAAGTTTATTTAGGATACAATAGGAAAAATAGTTGTAAATGTATATTAGAGGGGGGCAAATATTGATAGAAGTCATCATCATCATCAATAGTCTTATTTTAACTATTTGGGATCCGCTTTATGAAGTCTTAATTTTTATTTGTTTTTATTGAGTGTTGTTTAGGGGTGTAAACGAGTCGAGTCGAGTTTTGACACTATCGAGCTTAGCGTATTAGTCGGAATGTGAGCTCGAACTCAAGCTCGAGCTCAATTCGAGCTCAAAAAGCGAGCTCGAACTCGAGCTTGTCCTACTATAAACGAGCTCGAGCTGGCTCACGAGCTTTGACAAGCTCAATTCATTTTCCAAAAAAACTGGATCATTTATGACAAAAAGCTGCATCACTATTCAAAATAAAGCTGTAGTATTTTCCAAAAAAATCTCTTGCCCGAAGAACTCCTACCGCCCAAATACCACCCAAATCAAGTTTTTTAAATTATTTTTTAATATTCAAAAAAGCTGCAGCACTTTTCAGGTAAATGTTTACTACTTTTAATTAGCCATTCATATTTCTTAATATTTGATTTAACACCGGCTTGCATGTGATTTGACAAAGCATGCAAATGTCACTAGCAATCTGTATTTATTATTAAAAATTTTAACTATTTAAATTTAAATAAAAAAACATTATTTAAAAATATTAATAATAGTTCGAGCCCGCTCGCGAGCTCACGAGTTGAGCCAAGTTTGAGCTCGAGCTCGTTGCTCAATAAGCTCGGCTTGCGAGCTCGTTAACGAATCAAACTCGAGCCGGCTCGGCTCACTTACACCCCTAGTGTTGTTGAGGCTTTTGCCTATTCTTTACTAATAATTTTGAACAATTTTTTTTCCTTGTTGCCTTAGGTTTACTCTGTTTCATGCATTTTTTTTTTAAATTTTGGGAACAATGAATTAGAAGCACATAAGATTGTTTTAACAAGAAGGATATTGTTGTCATGGATGCATGATATTGTGCAGAATGATGAATAAATTAATATTAGAGAATAAGGTAAATTTCGTTGAGGAAAATAGAGAAAACATTGTTGAGAATGTACAATGGAGTGATGAGCAAGTGTTAATAGAGCCATCATCTTCATCTATAGCATTTTATTAACTATTTGGGCTCCATTTTATAAATTTTTGTTTTATTCTTTCTTGTTGATTGTTACGTGAAGATTTAAATCTATTATTTGTAAATCATTTTGAACAACTCTTAATTGTGGAATGATATGTGGCCTCGTGGTTAGAGGAGAAGGTTATTTCTCTAAGGCCACGTTGTGGGTTTGAACCACATACTTTACAATTTACTTCTCACTATTCATCCATGTTATTTTAGGTCCATCTCCTCTCCTTCCTAAATCTGTCCATCTAATTTCATATACTAATCTAATGGGTATATTTATTTCTATTCATTATGCACATCCAAACTACATAAGTCTACATAAATCCATTTTCGTTATTGTTATCTTCGGTAGATCTTACTCCAACAATCATTCTATTATAAGCATTTTTTAATTCATATCGCTTAGTTTTGCCACGTCCATCTTAAAATTTTCATTTCTAGCATGCTCAACTTAGCTAACTTCTTTTTTTGACAACATAATTATTTTGACCTCATAGGAACCCCATGATAAATCATTTCAAACATGATGAAAATGACAAATGACATATGTAATGTTGTGCAAGTCTGACTTTGAACACCTTGGTTCTAATTGAAAGTACATGAATTTTGTTCTTTTCCGAAATTAATTACTCCAACATGTTTGGAACAAAGGAAATATATGTTAAAGACCACTTGCAGCACCAAATTACCTTTCGATGAATGGACAACCAATGAATGTGACATATATTGCTCTATTGTTAAATGAACTGTGCTAACATTTATAGAATATTAAGAATGGCTAGGATAGACATTCACATTGTTATGACCACCACACGAAAGCAAAACTCAAAACTTACCTGTTTGTGAGGCGATGAAATAATTTTGAGGTGCATGAGGAGCAATGAATTGCATGAGAAATTGATTTACATTTGTTTTGTCCTTTTTATATTATTTTGATTAATTTTATTTCAAAAAAATCATAAAAAGTTTAAATTTTTTTGACGCTTTTTAACCTTATACATCTAAATCCCATAAATCTCATTGTTGGTCGAATGAAGTCCCATCCCATTCTCTATTGGACCTGTGATTAAAAAAATAACCAAAAACTTATTTGCTCCCTACATCGTATGGCAAGCTCTCCTCTTTCTCCCATTTACGTGTATTGACCCCATTCATCCCCCTTTCTCAAATCACTCCTTGTGTGAGCTCTCCATTCTAATCTCATGAACTCCTTTCCACCTCAAAACCTCAGGCTGCTGGGTGTCTTGCTGGCCTCTACGTATACCATCATTGCTATTATTGGAAGACTCCAAATCGTAGATAACATTGTAGTGAGGAAGTTGCAATATAGTTTGCTGGAGAAGGTAGTAACACAACCAATGATATGTGCAAAGAAAAGAAGTTCATAAGATCTACACTTCTTGAAGCCTACTAACAGAGTTGTTCTATCTCATCGCACTGCAACTACTCTCCCTTCATCTTTCCCCTCCTATTCTGTCAATCCACCTTTGCCAGAAATTGTCGATCTCCATAGCTCTAACCTAAGCTTGTCTCCCCACCAAGCAAATCCGATGCCTCACTTCTCTCTCAATGATGCTGGGTAAGTTTAGTATGGAAGCCTTACATTTATTGAGAGGTTTGATGGAGAAATATAAAGAGGAGGAGGACCTACATATGATACTTATTGATTTAGAGAAAACATATGATAAAGTTCCAAGATAAGTGCGATGGAGAGTTCTTGAAAAAAAAGAGTTAATAATGCTTATATTCAAACCATTAAAGATATGTATGCAGGAGCTATTACTTGTGTTCAAACACAAGGTGGTTTGACCAAGTATTTTCCCTATTGCGATTGGTTTAAATCAAGGATTAGCCTTAAGCCCATATTTTTTTGCTTTAGTCATAGATGTTCTCACTAGACATTTGCAAGAGGATATACCTTGGTGTATGCTTTTTGTTGTTGCTATTCTTCTTGTTGATAATACTAGAGAGGGAATTGAAGGTAAAGTTGAATTATGGAGGTCAAACTTAGAGTCTAAAGGTTTTCGCTTGAGTAGATCTAAAACTGAATATTTTGAGTGTAATTTTAGTAGTAATAGACCTAGTGAGGGGATTGTGGCTTTGGGCGATCAATTCATTAATAAGTGTACACGTTTTAGATATCTTGGATCTATTGCTCAGAGTGATGGTGAAATAGATGGGGATATTGTCAGTAGAATTCAAGTTGGATGGTTGAAATGGAGGAATGCATCGGGCTTGCTGTGTGATAGAAAAGTCCTCAAATTTATGAGAAAATTTTATAAGATGGTGGTGAGACATGTAATGCTTTATGTTGTCAAATGTTGGCCATTAAAAGAGAAGCATAATACTAAGTTAAGTGTTGCAGAGATGAAGATGCTTAGGTGGCTGAGTGGCTTTACCTGTATATGAAATGAGCATATACGTGAAAAGGTTGGAGTAGCTCAGTGGAAGATAAGATTTGGGAGAGTCGCCTTATATGGTTTAGTCACATAAAATGGTGGCCTTCCGATGACCCAGTTAGGAAAGTAGAGGTATTAGATTTGACTTATGTTTAGAAAGGTAAAAATAGACCTAAAAGGACTTGGTTATAAAATATTAGAAATGACCTTTCTTTATTAGATTTAAACGAGAATTTGACTTTTGACAGGACACAATGAAGAAAAAGTTTCATGTAGCCGACCCCACGTAGTGGGACAAAGGCTTGATGTTATTATTGTTGTTGTTGCTCACACCTCAAAACGCCTTGAGGCTTACGCCTCACCTCACGAACAAAAAATACCTCAATACCCAATTGCGCAATTTTAAACATTGATCATTCGATTAGGTTGAGTCTATTATCTTCGCTGACTAAGTAAACTATGGTCCATTACAACCCAAGACACGGAACCATAGGATCTTTATCTGGTTCATCATCATTTCTTACACCATCATGTTTATGTAAATGTCAATATATTTTCTCAATTTGAAGACCATAAAATTTTTTATTATTATGTACTAAGCATTTAGTGCCTAATGGCTAATCTTAGTTGAATGCTCTCTCTCGTGATTGAGAGAGGTTAATTAACAATAAGGCTTATGCTTACGAGAAACTTAAAACTATATTATAAAGTCACTGCAAAATTAGGACGATTTATAAGTTGTGACTTATTTGTAATTCTATTTGTCTTCTTAAAATTTAACCTTGAGCAAAATACTTCATTATAAGTGTTGGGCGTGAATTTTGGGAGCCTACAAATTGCAATAAAGATATGAAGCTAAAATTACTGGAATTCGCTTATAAACAAGAATGGTAAGGCTATTGCTTATATTGATCTAGTTCAAGAAGAGTAATGCTCCAATAAAAGTTTAATGAATTTTTTAGATTGGGAAAAAGATCAAAATGGTCCCTTAACTCTATGAAGGGCCAAAATGGTCTCCAACTATACTAAAGAATCATTTTGGTCCCTTAAGTTTTTAAAATGAATCAAAATAGTCTCATGGTGGATTTATTTTGATTCCTCCTTAAGGAGTTGATATATTAAAATCGTCATTTAATATAGTTGATGACTATTTTGATTTTTCATAAAGAGTCAAGAGATCATTTTGACTCTTTTCTCTTTTAGGATTCCAAAAGCTAACCTGGGATACCTATAAAGTACTTCTATGAGAATAATCCTATGTAACTTTGTAAAGCACTTTTTTTTGGAAGCATTTCTAAGATAATCTCAACATTTTTTTCCATCATGCAACGCTCTTTGTTTTCCTTCATCATCATTAACATCCTCTGCTTGCTCTTTTTTTTGTTGTAATCTTCTTCATTTTCCTTTTGTTTCTTGCAGTGTGCGTCAATTCATGTCTACATCTTATTTTTTCTCTTATTAGATTGCACTCGAAGAACTTGCTGAAAGAGTTAATGGAGATATGCGGATGGCATTGAATCAGTTACAATATATGAGTCTCTCTCTATCAGTTATCAAATATGATGATGTTAGGGAACGCCTTCTTAGCAGTGCAAAAGATGAAGATATTTCACCTTTCACAGCTGTTGACAAGTACTGTTCATCCACTATCTTGTGCTTTTTCCATCAATTAGAGGTTGCCTTAAATAATATAATTTTTTTACTGGTTGAGAGCAATCTTATCATTGTTTTTTTTTCTTATCAAAAACTTGACCATTTAATTTGCGTATCTAATTTCTGGAAATGAACCAGACCAGTGGCGGAAATCTTATGCATTATGCGTGCCATCTTTCTTTTTCTGGCAATGCAACTCTTCAAAGTTTTATTTTATTGAAGTTCATTTAATTTGACTTAGTAGATGGATTTTTATTTATTGCCTTCATTTACTTTTATTTTCATACTGGAAACAATTCGACGTGTTGTCTTCCTCCTTACAGATGGTGGCATTTCAGCATGAATTTTCTCTAAGGCTTTAGTTTTTTCCCCAGTGCACTCACTTTAGTCAAGCTTTGGATAAGTCAATTGCTTACGAAAAAATATTATTGAATTCTTTTAGTGGAAGCTTTGTGAAAGAAGGCATGGTTTAGATTAATGTGAGGCTTAGTTCTCCTAGTTTCTTTTAGGCGATGCCTAAAAAATTGACCTGTTCTTTGTTTCCTGTTATGGATGGATAAGCTAAGCATAAAAGGATCGTCATATTTTTTAGTAAGGTCCACTTCAATTTCAGAGGCTTGTTTCCTGTTATGGATGGATAAGCTAGGCATTAAAAGGTTTGTCATACTTTTTTATACAGTCCACTTTAATTTCAGAGGCTCTCTTTGGTGGCAATGAACCTGATTGGAATATTTAGTTTAATAATCACATCTCAATGTCTTGTTGGGGAAATCTCATGCTACTGTTGCATGCAACTTTAAGAATTCGAATCTTTACTTTACTTTGGTTATAGGAGCATGATCTATATATTCTTTCTACTTGCATTGTTATTTCCCTTAAATTTGATGAAATTTGCAGGCTGTTTGACTTCAAAGGTGGAAAATTACGTATGGATGAGAGGATTGATTTGAGCATGAGCGATCCTGACTTGGTGCCTCTTATTGTTCAAGTATATTTCTTCAGATATTGTTGTCTAATAAAAGTTCAATTCACAAGTCATATCCGCAAATCCTTGCTGACTTGTGAAATCCTGTTTCAAGCTTTTGTTAACAAAAAATATTTTCCAGTCTGCATTTAATGTTTCCAAAGATCATGTACAAGAAAATATATTAAATTAAACTTTATCATCCCATTGCTTCTTTAAATGCTAGGAAAACTATATCAATTATCGACCATCATTAGCTGGAAAGGATGAAAATGGACTAAAAAGAATGAACCTGATTGCTCGGGCTGCTGAGTCAATTGGGGATGGTGACATTTTTAATGTACAAATTAGAAGATATCGACAATGGCAGCTTTCCCAAGCAGGTTCTTTCGCATCTACCATAATCCCGTATGTTAGGCATTTTTTTGTTGTTTTTTTATTTAAAATGTTGTTGCTTTATTGATAAGATGTTAACTTTACATATTTTTTGTGCTTCAGGGCTGCTTTAATTCATGGAAATCGGGAAATATTAGAACCTGTAAGCTTAAATTGATTTTGATTCTATTTATCTTCAACTAAATACTGGTGTTTTATTTATTAACTTTCTTTTGCAATTGAACTGTTTGCAGTATGACTGAACGCTGCATACTCTCTTGGTTACTTTTTGAAAGCTATAATGTTACTTTTTGGTTACAGCTAAGAAGTTATCACTAATAACATTTGCCTATTTTTCAATGAACTTTTGTCACTGTTTTATGAATGTTTTGCAGATGTTCTTTCTTCAGAATGCCACATGTTCAAACACAAGATTTACTAATGGGCTAACTTTGTTAAAAAATCATTTATTGTCATCCTCCTAATCCCCTGTATTCTGCTTATTTGGAGTGGCCTCCATTGTAGTGCATCCTATTTAACTTCACCCCACTCTCCTTTTTTATTTTCTTATTGTTGACTGAATTATTCCATGCTTTCTTCCTGTCCTGTATCATTCCGGCATGGGTGACCGTTATGTGTATGGGAGAGGCTGTGAGATTGAGGGGACAGTATATGGAGAGAATGAAGGATAGAGGGAGTTTCATTACTAGATTACACCATATTGCTTATTTTGCGAGTCTGCAAGCTTGCGTGCAAGGTTGAGAAAGACGAGGGAGGAAATCCTTTCTTACATCGCCAGTGGTTTTAGCTTTTTGAGGCATCCCCTGTGGAATGAATGCTTACTTGCCTTACCCCACTCAATGAGAGAGAGAGATTTGATTTGAGGGAATTCATTTGGCACATTATTATTGTTTGCAGCAAGGTCACTAGTTAAGTATCAGATTTCATATTTTTAGTTTAGTCTGTATTTAAGGGTTGAGTTGAAGTCTTATTAAATGTACAGATATAATTTCTGAAATATTTTGCTTGTGTCTTTGTGTCAGTGAAAACAAAAGTATACCATCAAGTAGGAGCCGTCATATTATGAGCTGAATCCTTCAGTAAAAAAATTGCATGTGGCAGCTATCGTAATTTGTGCCTTGCGAGTGTTTTAAATTAAAAGCATGACTTACTAGTGGAAAAAAAAGAATTAGATTGCTGCCAAAGATGGTGATTATTAATGCAAAAAATACGAGCTTTCTTCCTTAGCAATAATTTATTTTTATTGTTACAAGGAATGTTCTCCTATTCCATGTATATACCGCATGAAAATACAATGCATATTCTGTACTTTTTTGTTTAGTGCATGTTCTGTTATTAAATAGGCAAGCTGATCTATTTGTGCTTCCATTGATATTCTTTTAATACTCTTTCAAATCCAATCAATTTTTGGGAGAAAGGAAAGGAAGATAAGTTGGTCCCGGTGATAAAACGGACAAATTGTGTGCTGAAATTCTACAAGATGTTGAACCTATGGATTAGGTATAATGCGTTTGCATGGTGCATTAGTGAAACCTTTGCTTTATCGTTATATTTCATGTTTGGTTTTCTCTGTTTTTAGAGAGTAAATTTATCAAATTGAAGAATGCCTGCTTACTCTCTGAAAATTGTTCTTTCAAAAGTACTTTCCAGTTCCTGATTTAATATGATAAAATAGCATAAGCTGTTTAAACCTTTCATAAACTATAAGTAAAAGATGAAGGAAAATTTATGCTAGTAAGGCCTATGGCCTTTCTGAAAGGCTTGGATATCATAATGTTATTGTTAAAATCTCAGCCATCCATTGACACTTGATCTAACGGCCAGGATGGGAATCCGTGGGAGGCTCACCTGGATCACGCTGATCTCTCTTAAATCATAGCCATCCCTTGACACTTGATCCCAACGCCAGGATAAGAATTTGTGTGAGGCTCACCTGGATCACACCAATCTCATTCCATATTTGGGGGGCTGATTTAGGAAGGATTTTATTAGGGCAATTACACAAAATCATGATTCTGTAATTATTTGTTTCTTTATTAAGATAATATATATATATATATGTTCGATCGAGAGAGGCAAACATCTCATGCGTCTCGTTTGGAGGAGTCGATCAAGAATCCCGCGGTCTTTGCATTCAATCAAGAGAGATGAACATCTGGTGAACCCCTCTCGCGTGCGACTGAGCAGGATGAGAGAGGCGTGCAACCATAAAATTTTGCGCTTGTGTCTGGGGCCAAACCAAGTGAGATCGTGCGACCCTAAAGCTTGTTCCTCTTGTGTGCGCAGGGGCGGAATCGAGAGGAGCCAATTAAGAGCTTGCGTCTAGACGAGAGCGTGCAACTTCATGGGATGAGAGACTGTGCTTCCGGACCGAGCAGATGCGTGCGTTTGGATAGCTTTTGTCTTGTTCCTCTGGCCCCCGAAATTTCTCGCATCTTTTGCATCCTCATCAAATCCTGTCGGCATACACTCCGCCACATGTTCCCACCACCGGCCTTCATTGCCGAAATTCTGAGGAATATTTTTCCTTCCATCGACCGGAATTTTGAGGAACACGGGTTCCAACTATCGGCCTTAATGGCCAGAATTCTAAGAGATATTGGTCATTCCATCGGCCTTCATTGACGAAATTTTGAGGAATGCAGGTTCTCACTACTGGCCTTCATTGCTGGAATTATGAGAAATACTGGTCCTTCTACCGGCCTTCATTGTCGGAATTATAAAGAATATAGGTTCTCACCATCGGCCTTCATTATCGGAATTCTGAGGACCTTCATGCACCCAAAACCAAGGAGAGATCGAGCTGGAGGGCTCCTCTTACATGCGACGTCCAAAGTCGACTGAGCAGAAGCGAGCGGAGGACCTACTTCTGCGTGTGTCGGAAAAAGCCTAGAGTTCCCTCTCAAGCGTTGGCAGGGACAAGCAAGAGTGCAAGACCTGCACTCCCTCCTACGATCATACCAGATGGATTAGAGGCCTTGCGTGCGCTTGTACTGGCGAATCAAACAGGAGTCTGTTCAGGTGGAGTCAGACCACCCGGAAAGAGGAGTTCTGCATGCTGAGTCGCTTGAATCTTGATACACGTGTTTCTACTCGTGTCCTTGGCTTGCCGCAACCCTAAAAAACAATAATTTGTTTTCTTTTTAATTGTCCTGTCTTCATTGCCGGCCTTTCCTTGAGAACCGACAGGGAGACGAACTCGAAGGATAATTAATCCACTTTTCATGTTGTCCCAACACCAGACTTTATTGCCATTACTTGTATCTTGAGGACTACTGTTCAACGCAACTTTCATTGCTGCCCTGCACCTTGCAGGCTTGATTTAGATAGGCTTCATCGCTATCCTTTACCGCAACAATGTTTGAAGTTAATTTATCCCAAAGCTTTGACCAAATGAAGGACTCTATGGTGCACCAAGGGATTTGATAACTCTACTTTTTTAGGACTAATTATCAAGCTAGGAATGATAGATCTGTATTCCACAGCTTGAGGGGAAATGTTAAAAATCCCAACCGTCCCTTGACACTTGATCTAACGACTAAGATGAAAATCCGTGGGAGGCATTCCTAGATCACGCCGGTCTCTGTTAAATCCGGGCAATTTTGCACGATTTTATAATTATTTGTTTCTTTATTAAGATATTATGTATAGATCTATAAATAGGGATAGTTTTGTATAATAAAACTAAAGCCTTTTCCTCTCAAATTCTTTGAATTTAACAATTATAATAATGTTTAAATTATTATGTTATTTTCAGTCTATAGTTTGTTTAAAGGATTCGTTTTAGACTTAAAAGATGGATAAAAGGTTATTTAGTCAAAGCCAATAAATCTTTTGTGATATGGGACCTTAACCTAAGGTTTTATGAATGAATACTGTTTATTTTTTAATCCTTTGACTTTTTTGTATTATTTTTTTCATGCTATTAAATTTTATGCTTAAATTTTGTCAAATATTTATTTTTATTACCAAATGCATCTTTATTATTCACGCACATGAAGGCCTGGATGATGTGAAACGTACATGCGATGGAGTTACTTTAAGAAATTAAAGAGAGCAATTTTAACAAAATAATCCAAAATAAAATTATCACTTATAGCAAAAGATTGATCCTTGGAGTTCTCAGTTTTTAACTTGCTTAGGCAAAGAAGAGCGCAATCAATCAACCAAACAATTCAAGAATACACAAAGAATAATTGTAAAACTACGACAATAAACAAGAGTCCACGATTTAATAATGAGAATTTTCAACTTTGGATTCCATACGCTCAACTAGTCTAGGCTTCAGCGGAAGAAGAGTCTCCACATTAGAACCGTTTCAGATTTCCTAATTTTAATTTGGACTTTGTAATTTCAAATTTTTTGAAATTTGAAATTTAGGCTTAGGAGGGAAATTAAATTGAGAACCAAAATTAATACCATGAGGAGCCAGCGGTTTTTGGAGAAAATTAGGGATTAATGGGATAGGAGTTAATAACAAAGGAGGGAATTTGGGGCTCTATGCATGGCCGGCCATATGAAAAATTAATGGTTGGAAATTAAAAGCAAGTGGGGCCCACTTACTAGTCTAGTAATTAAATAAATCTGAATGTATTTTCAGTTTTCTGAGATAAAACGTTGCCAGGCTTGAAGAGTTATCAATTAGAAGGAATTTGAATTGATCATTCAAATTATATCCAATTAATATTGGGGCCAAAATCAAGGTGCTAATTTTGGAAAGAATTTATGTCCTCATGAAGCCACTTGGAATTTCAATCTTTGAAATTTGAATGAGGGGAGGAGAGAAACCGGTGGCCAATCCCAGGAACTGGGCTAGGGACGAGATGGGGAAACCTACCGGGAGCAGCTGACAGGGAGGGCCGGCGGTCAGGCCAATCCAGTGGGGGCGACGACAAGAAAATAGGGGAGGAAGAGGGAGTCGGCGGGGTGGGGAAGAAAAGGAGGGGCTTGCACCACGCCACCGGTAGAACTCACAAAGAGATCTCCGGCGAACTCCTCTTCAAGAACTTACAAAGAGATCTTTAGAGGCTTCATGAACTCACAAAGAGAATCATCAAAATAAAATTTTCATTTCTCCAAAACTAACTATTACAAGAGAATGATCATATAAATAGGCCTCACAATGACAAAGAAAAACAAAAG